GTTCTCAATCCACATATTGCTGGAGCCTAGCTTGTAGGATTTTAAGCATAACCTTACTAGCATGTGAAATGAGTACAATGATGCGATAGTTTGAACATTCTTTGGCATTGCCTTTCTTTGGAATTGGAATGTAAACTGACCTTTTCCAATCCTGTGGCCACTGTTGAGTTTTTCAAATTCGCTGGCAAATTTGAGTGTAGCGCTTTTACTGCATCATCTTTTAAGATTTTGAATAGCTCAGCTGGAATACTGTCACCTCCACTAGCTTTGTTATTGCTCAGATTGCCCATTTGACTTCACATTCTAGGATGTCTGGCTCAAGGTCAGTGACCACCCCATCGTGGTTATCAGGGATGTTAGCTCATTCTTGTATAGTTCTGTATAATTTTGCCACCTCTTCTTAATCTCTTCTGCCTCTGTTAAGTCTTTTTGTTGCTTTAATTGCTACCTCTTGTACAATGTTGTGAACCTCCGTCCATAGTTCTTCAGGCACTCTGTCTATCAGATCTAATTCCTTAAATCTATTTGTCACCTCTACCATATATTCATCAGGGATATGATTTATTTCATACCTGAGTGGCCTAGTGCTTTTCTCTACTTTCTTCAATTTAAGCCTAAATTTTGCAACAAGAAGCTCATGATCTGAATCACAGTCAGTTCCTCGTCTATGCTGCAGAGCACATATTCAATCTGATTTCTGTGTTGACCATCTGGTGATGTCCATGTCTAGAGTCGTCTCTTGGGTTGTTGGAAAAGAGTGTTTGCTATGACCATCATATTCTCTTGACAAAATTCTATCAGGCTGTGCCCTGCTTCATTTTGTATTCCAAGGCCAAACTTGCCTGTTATTCCAGTTATCATTTGGCTTCCTACTTTAGCATTCCAATCCCCCATGATGATAAGGACATCATTTTTTGGTGTTAATTCTAGAAGGTGCTGTAGGACTTCATAGAACCAGTCAATTTCCTCCTCTTCAGCACCAGTGGTTGGGGCATAGACTTGGACTACTGTGATATTGAATGGTTTGCCTTGGATTCGGATAATTAGAACTGCAGAAAAAACAATTGTTACCAACCTGTCTTCCATTGAGGACCTGTATACTGCACAAGTCAAAAAGAGGGCTGTGAAAATATTTACAGACCCCTCGCATCCTGGACATAAATTGTTTCAACTCCTACCCTCAAAACTATGCTATAGAGCACTGCACACCAAAACAATTAGAAACAAGAACAGTTTTTTTTCTGCCATCACTCTGCTAAACAAATAATTCCCTCAACACTGTCAACCTATTCACTAAGTCTCCATTACTATTACTATTAGTCTTCTCATTATTCCTATCACCCATTTCCTCCTACATGACTGCATGACTGTAACTTTGTTGCTTGCATCCTCACGATTTATATTGATATTGTTTCCTAGTATGATTTGATTGCTTATTTTTACTGTATGACTACCATTAAGTATTGTACCTATGATTCTTGATGTATATATATCTTATCTTTTTATGTACATTAAGAGCATATGCGCCAAAGACAAATTCCTTGTGTGCCCAATCACACTTGGCCAATAAAGAATTCTATTCTATTCTATTCTATTCTATTCTATTCTATTCTATTCTATTCTATTCTATTCTAAAGATTTGTTTAATGATGGTTAAATAGTTACAATTATCTGAGCTCAAAAAAGTTATGCTACTCCTATTTAGATATGGCAAACACTAGGAGTACTTACCAAATTTAAGACTCCTGATAATAATTCTTGTTAACATTACTCCAATGATACACAAGCATCTACATATTTCGGAAGGACATCTACTGGGGGGAAACCTTCACATTAGCAGTCATGGGTAGTTTATTTTCTGCGCAAATCATAGCTCTTGCATTATCATCCATCATGCAAGGGATCTTCCCGCACTCCCACCCGAAGGAGGAAGTGGGTCACCCTAAACAGAGCGGTTGGGCGGTTCTCTGCAGATGCAATAAGAGTGGAAAAATAGTTAGATTTTGCCGCTTTTATCGCCACTATGTAGGTCTTGATATAAGACCTCACCTGTGTCCAGTCAGATTCGGATTGACTAGTCCTCCAAACACTCTCTAGGCGTCTTTTCTGACGCTTCATCTCTCTCAGCTCCTCGGAGAACCAAGGAGCCAATTGAGATTGGCATCGGGTCAGAGGTCGCAAAGGCACAACGTGGTCCAAAGCCCCTACGGCCGCACTATCCCAGGCAGCCACCAGGTCTTCAGTCGAGTCGTGTGCCAGAGTCTCCGGAAACGGCCCAAGCTCCATCTGGAACCTTTTGGGATCCATCAGGCGCCTGGGATGGAACCATCTAGTCGGTTCCATCTCCCTGCAGCGGGGGGTAGCGGCTTGAAAGTCTAAGTGAAGAAGCGAAAGATCTGTCCATGACAAGGGTTTAATGATTTAATGTCTAGGTCCCCTCTATCAAGATCATTCAGCCACTGACCAGAGATGAAAATCAAGCCCAGAGTGTGTCCCCCTATGTAAGTGGGGCCTTGCACTAACTGGGTCAGGTCCATGACTGTCATGGAAGCCATGAACTCCCGAGCCACCTCTGATGTCTCACCAACGGATGGTAGGTTATATTTGTTGATTATCCTTTAGATGAAAGCTGGATTTCATTTCTCTCTATTCAATAATACAATCAAAGTTAAAGAAAAGGATCAACATGAAATTGAGAAACATGAAATATGGGTTTGTCAAAAAGAGAGGTGACTGTTTCAGGTTGCTGCAAGTCCAGACTTTTATTAAAGAGCGAGGAACAGTATAAGCATTTCAGTTTTGGAAAGTTTCCCATGATAGATACATTAAGATTACAAAAGGAAGATGTAATGGCAAAATGTTTAGGACCTCATTTGGAAAATATGAGCATTTCTTTAAAAAAAGTACTATTTCCCTGTATATAATTTGTTGTGTATCCCTCTGACATTACCTGTACAACAGTTTTCTCTTTTATGAATAATAATCAGATGAGAGAAACTAAAAAACCTGGCAATTCCAACATCACTGCTTATATTGAAAGTCAGCTGTCATAAAACCTATACAGAATTCCTCAATATATTCCATAAAAACAAAATGAAAACGGTTATTTTATAAAACAATGAGTTCTACATAGAATAGTTTACAGCAGAGGTGTCAAACTCATGTCATCATGGTGGCATCATGTGACGTATCAGGACTTTACTCCATTAAACTGGGTGTGGCACGTCACGCATCCGGTCCATGGGGTGGGAGTTTGTCAGCTCTGGTTTAGAGCAATGGTTCCAGGCATTGGATGATTTGGACATGGGGAAATAATAAGTTGTGCAATAATATTCTAAAATATGTAAATTCATATAGATTATTTTTTCCCAGTCTTACTCTTGGAAATCTGGTTAATATATTCATCCAATATGTCTGAAAGAGCATACAGATAGTCCTTGACTTACAATGATTCATTTAGTGACTGTTTTAAATTACAACAGCACTGAAAAAGTGACTTATGACCATTTTTCACATGACTGCTACACATGACTGATCATGTATGGTTACATGATCAGAACGGTTGGCAGTTTGGCGGTTCGAATCCCTAGTACAGATCTCCTGTGTGAGCAGAGAGTTGGACTAGATGACCTCCAAGGTCCCTTCCAACTTTGTTACTGTTTAAAAAAAATTCAGACGCTTGGCAACTGTTTCATATTTATGACAGCTAGTATTAGGAAATTATTATTATCTAACTTGTTGGGTTGGCAATATATAAACCATCAATGTAGCTTTAAGACTGCTGTATTGCATCATACTATGTCCTGATTGGTTAGCTCTGTAGCCAATGTCCTTAAGAGGGAGCTAGAAACCTGGTTTGTTTCCCTTTACTGTCTCTTTGGTGCTCATTGCTGATCTTTACTGCTTGTTACCGCTCTTTGGTATGTTTGCTACTGTTTGCAACTGTTAATGTGTATGATGACTGTAAAACGACTTTGTTATTGGATTATCCCTGAACTATTGTTTTACTATCTACTGCTTTATAGGTGTATGACCTGGATTGTTTATTGGACTGTGCCTTACTATTTCCTGAAAGTAAATACAACTCAGTGTATCTGTGTGTTGGCTGTGTGTTTATTCATAACTACTTTCAATCGCTTTCATGTGCACACCCTTGCTACTCAAGGGTTGCTCTGCGAACTCCTTAACAGTTAGTGCCCTGGGATCAGGTGATCACTTTGTCACCTGATAAGCAAAGTCAATGGGGAAGGCAGATTTACTTAATAACAGTGCTAACAAGTGCAATGATTCACTTAATAACTGTGGCAAGAAAGGTCATAAAATAGGGCAAAACTCACTTTAAAATGTCTTAACTTTGCAAAGAAAGTTTGTGTTTAATTGTGTTTGTAAATCAAGGATTACAGTATCTGCATTCTGTTCTCTGTTTCTGGACAGCAACATAATTTCTCCCAGCAGGATAAAAAAATTGAAATTTAAATTACCTTTTATTGTTACCCCAGAATGTCTCTTAATGCATGAGACTGTATTTTGAGGACACAAGATATAACTCTTATATATCTATACAAATAATTTATTTAAGACACGTGTTCTGTTCCTATCTTAAGAACTTGATGTCCTCTCAAAATTAGAATGAGTTTTTAAAAATTTTGATGAAGGAATATGCAAATAGGCGCTAGCCTCCATTCTTCCTTGCGGCTGCGTTCTCCAAATCTCTGTCTGAGGCCTCTTCGCTTTTTCTCTTTTCCAGCTCAACGACTTCTATGGGAAGCTGGCGCCTGGCTTTGTGTTTGACAGGAAGAGGGTTAAAACCATAGAGCTGGAGCTGTGAAGCAGAGCGGAGGCGGGGGACAGGATAGACTCGAGGGGTGCTTTCCTGTGCTTGAACCCGCCACTGCCTACACACAGGCACGGGAGTGGCTCTTTCGTTCCCAGGCCTGCGGTCAGCGAAGGCGTGCGAACCCCGCTTGGATTCCTGCAGCGGGGAATGAATCGGTGAGATTCCGGGGACAGATCCAACCGTGTGGAGACCGATTTATGGGGAGAAGGACGGGCAGCCCGTAACTCAGTGAAAACAGCCATTTATGGGGGAACGCCTGTAAGAAGGGCAGCTTTATCCATCCACCCACCCACCACCTCCATTCACTCTTCATCTGTCTCCCAGAGTAGTTCTCAGCGGGGAGGATCTGCTGTGGAAAGTCCTGTCTGTATTTCTCTTACGGCTTTTTATTCTTCTTTATTTTATCTATTTCTGCGACGGGAGAATGAATGATATTGAGCACGATCCATGACTGTACTCGTGTAGTATAATGAGCAATGTTGGCTGTTACCTGTTTCGTCTATAACCCACACCAAAAAATACAAATACTTTTATTTCTTTGTAAGGATGTCAGCGCTGTTCATAGAAATGTTTGATATAATTCTTCCAATCTCTTTTCTCATTAGCCGTTTAAAATTTAACGTTTCAACGTTTATTTCATTTATTTGCATATCAAACCTTTATTAATTTTATAAATAATTCAAGGAGGAGAATACCCCCTCATCCTATTTTCTCCACAATAACAACTCTGTGAGGTGGATTGGGCTAAAACAGGGTGACTACCTCAATTTCATTCAGCCGGCTTTCATGCCTAAAACAAGACTAAAATTAAGGGTTTCCCAGTTTCTGGTCTGGTGTCTTAACCACTAGATCAAACATATTGAGAAATGACTCTGTTTGTTTATGTAACTTTTTATAGAGAGAAGGAAAGTACTGAAGTCAGGTCAGGACTGTTTGTCTAAGGCTCTAAGCAGTATTACTGAATGCTCCAAGAGCAGAATGATGGAATATGAATTATATAAATAATAATAGCATTAAATATTAATCAAATGGGGAACAATATTCTGGACTGACAGGTACACATTTTTCTGTTTGAAAACTTTGAAATGTAAAACAAAAAAAATAGGTTAAACTTCTAATATCTCTAACAATATTATATCATGTCACAATAAAAAAAATCTGTAGAGATATAACTACAAACAATGTGCTGCCGAATTAATGATAATGATGCAATATTTGAGAGGCTAGTATTGCAGATACTTTAAGAGGACACAATTTTCAATCTATTTTCAAAAGAAATCCAGAATATCTTTCTTTAAAAAGTACATTTGCTCCAACACATAATAAAAAATAATATTACTAAATATTATTCTAAAATTTTGATTGAATCATCCTGGCAACATAACATATAGGCAATGTCAACTTACTTGGAAGTGATTTCCTGGTTTCCTCTATTTAAGATGCAGAATTTAATTATAGTAAGTACATTTATAATTAATTTGGTCTCAGAAGACATATTAATGCAATCAGCTGCTCCTATTAATTACATTTTTATAGTCTCAGGCAACAAAGTTAATAAGTACTTTTTTTCCTTTTTCCCACCTAGGGAAAACTGCACAGAAACCCTATAGGTTTACTTAAAAAGAAAGCCCATCCAATCATTCAGAAGATTTTATTTTCAGATGGAGTAGAAACCTATTTGGCATATCAGACTGTCTGAATTACAACTCCAAACATCCATCATCATTGGTCATGCTGCTGGAAGCCCCGTTTGGTGAAATTGAATCACAAGTACCTTACTCTTGCTCTCAGGCAAGTGAAGGATAGTAGCCTATAGAAATTATCAGGATCCAGAAGAGGCTAGCATATGATTTTTATGCAGCCATAGTTTGTTTATTTTGTGTATATTTAAATAATACAATGATTTGGAAACCTGTCATTTTGAAAGAAGAAAAGTGAGTTGAATGAAAGATGAACCACTTCAGATTAATACATCTAAATTTCACTGGCTTGGCTCCAGACTTAGTCATGCTTAGAATAAATTTATTAGACTCAAGAGGATACCTCAGTCATGGATCCCACTGATTTCAGCAAGCCTACTCTAGGCACAGCTAAATCTGGATCCAATCAGTAAACAAATAATCAGGGCCATTTATATTGATACCAATCATTTTTTTTTAATTTGAAGAACTTTCATCCTTAAAGAGCCTTGGTAGTACAGGGGTTTAAGGCACCCTGTTATTAAGCTGGTTATTAAGACCAGCTGCCTGCAATTACTGCAGGGTTCGAATCTTGCCAAGGCTCAAGGTTGACTCAGCCTTCCATCCTTTCTAAGGTAGGTAAATTGAGGACCCAGTTGGGGGGCAATAAGCTGACTTTGTATAAATATACAAAAGGATGAAGGCTATTGCTGAGCACATTGTAAGCCGCCCTGAGTCTTCGGAGAAGGGCGGCATATAAATCAAATTTAAAAACAAAAAAAGAGAGGGAGAGAATATTCTGAACAAATAGAATCGTTACAACATATTTTTAAAAATAACCCATCTAGATTGTGCAGATTGGGAAGATATTAATAAAATATATATTTTAAACTCCATTCATATTACATTATTTCTTTTCCACCCAAATTACTCAGCTTTTGGCAGCACTTATGTCCTCTTTCTTTTTCTTTCTCTTTTTTTTGAAATTCTGTTTTTCTCCCCAGCAGGTTCTGAGAGCAAAATTATATCCCAGGATCTCAGAGATGTTTATCAAGCTTTAGAAGAAAGCAAAAAGCCAGAAAATCACAACCATTAACTTAGTTCAGAGGTTGAAGGAGTCTTTTGAGGTAGACCACTTTAGCCTCCTGCCAGAGGAGCTGGTCTGAAGAGTGTCAAGACAGGTCTTCATTTTCCGATCACTACCACTCTCGCAAGACTGGCAGCCATGGGGGAAAAGTCCCACACTTGCCCTTACTGTGGGAAAGGTTTCCGGCGAAACTCACACCTTACTCGGCATTTAGCTACCCACTCTGGACTGCAGCGCCCTTTAGGTGGGAAACGCCTGGGACAGCAAGTGCCAGAGGAAGACCGTCCCTTTAGCTGCAGCTACTGTGGGAAGACTTTTGCCCGCAGTGCCCACCTGGCCCGGCATCAGGAAACCCATTCTGGGGAGCGACCCTACAAGTGCACCTACTGTGGTAAAGCCTTTGGGCGCAATTCCCACTTGACCCGCCACCACAGCACTCACACTGGAGAGCGCCCCTATGAATGTGGTGTCTGTGGTAAAGCTTTCACCCGCAGTGCTCATGTCACTCGCCACCAAGGAACTCACACTGGAGAACGTCCTTTCCGCTGCACACGTTGTGGTAAATGCTTCACCCGTAGTGCCCATCTCCAGCGCCATCAGGGCATCCACAGTGGGGACAAGCCCTTCTCGTGCAGAGACTGTGGAAAGGGGTTCACTCGTTATGCACACCTTGAGCGTCACCGTGCTACGCATTCAGGAGAAAAACCCTTCAAATGCGCCAGCTGTGGTAAAGGGTTTGGGGCTGCCTCTCACCTTGTAAGACACCAGAAAACTCATAAAGTTTAACGGCTGGGTTTTGTGCCTGCTGCAATCCAAACAAATATGAGAATTGGCCAGTATGAAGTACTTGGACTTATCCTTTGACTTTATATCTCTTTTCTCCATTCTAAAATCTACTTTTAGAAAGAAATGAGTTCAACCCACTCAACAATATTTACACCTGGTCTGCAGACAAATTGAGGTTCTTTTAGCTTTTGCCACTTCGGTTCAGCAGCACCCATAGCAAAAACAATTTTAGATGGTAAAACAGCAAAATATTCTAATTTTTTTCCTTTGGGGGCAAAAAAATCTCAGCGCTGCCAGTCACTCATGGTTTTGTGTATGCTTTTACTCAGTTATATAAATAAATGCTGTATTTAACTCCACCTTTTCTAGTAAGAAAGATGCCAGACATATGCATTTATGACTCCCTGGCAAGTATTTCAAAATCCCCTGCCTTGTGCTCCAGCATTATCTACATTGTGCAGTTATGATGTAAATGTGACAATCTGAATCAACAGAAGCATCTTTTTGGCAATTCCCTTGGAATTTAATTGGATAAATTATTTCATCAGCTTTGGATTTTGAACCTGTGGCCTGATCATTTTGTTGTTAGAACTATGTGCCATGCTCACCTAAAAGACTAGCATTGGAATAGGGAGTTATTGTGCCTGCATCTTAAGCTCCTCAGTAGCTTGTAGCAGCAGAAGGAAATGTTATTGAATCTGAAGCCAATTCTTAAGATTTGTCTATCTCTTCCATGCCTCTCAAGACTTTGAGGCTTGATTTGCAGTCGTCTAACTACAAGTAGTGCCTGCAATACCATGTTGCAGCATAGTGTATTCATAGACAATGTAGCCATATTATCTTTCAGAGATAATTCAACTTATTTTTCCCTTCCTTTGAACTGTTTCCTTTAATAGCATGTTGGAGCTCCTATGCTTGCTCAGACATTGATTTTCTTTTTAATTTTATGTTTTTGGAGGGAGGAAGTTATTGCCTTTGGATTTTATTACTAATTATTTTTCTCTGTTTTTGCAAATTTTGGTATTGTGACATGCTGATAACTTCCCACTTATTTCTCAGTAGCCCCATTTGGGTTGCACAGTCATCATAAATGTACATGTGTTTACCAGCAATATTGATATTCATGTCCAGTACTAGATACTTTTTTGTGGGAGAAACAAGGAATAGACCAAGACTTTTATCAAGTTAAATTGCAATGTGAAACTGCAAATATTTCAAGTCTTTTCTGTTGGAAGTATATGAGTTCTTAGATCTTGTCTCCCAAGCCTCCAGCTTTAGTGAATCTGAACTATTTTTTCTTTTTTTATAAATAATAATAGCTAGCATAGTTACACTGATAAATTTTCTTACCTAACAACAGTGTGTTCTAGTGTAGGTAAATAAAGACTCAAATTCAACAAATCAAATTGTTGAACAACAACAATGAAGTTTTTTGTTCATTTAAACTCATTCACATTTTTTAATGGAGAAGGAAGATTTTAAATAATTGCTGTCTCAACAGAAAGGGAACTGTAGAAGAAATGTATGAAGACAGCTGGAACCTTTAGCAGAAATTTAAAGTATAACTTTGAATGTCATGCTATTCTGAAGTGCATCAGAAAACTAGATGAGGCAGCAGGTAGTTTTTTAGCTGGAATTCCAGATAAACTATGGTTACCCAAACTTTTTCTGTTTTGATCCTTCAGGGGGAACTTGCTAAGTTATTACAGCAATTTATTGTCTGTTGCTGATTCTCGTCTGCCTCCTGATCGGTGGTTCTTTGTAGATGTGGGATTCCCAGAATGTTTTAAAGCTCTGATCATGCAAGAACCTGATGATTTTCTTACATCAAGGATTCTTGTACAGAGTGCTCACCATGCCAATGATTTGAGTTATATATGACATTTGGACCTAGAAACAGCTATAGGCCACTTGGCTCTGTTGTATGGACTGGTAATAACTTGGGCTGTTTGAAACCAGAGAAACTCAGCAGTAAGACTGCAGTTGTGCAGCAAAACTGTCAAAAAGGATTTTCAGAAAAGAAATGGACAAATGATAGATTGGAATAATTGGAAATAAGAACGAATCACAACTTGCAAAGTATACATGATTTTACTTGAATGCCAAATAAGCAGGACTTTTAGCCTAAGTGACTTGTATTTGAAGGAGCCTTATACAATATATGGTCAGCTACTCTGAGTTCATTATAGTTACCAGATGGAGGAACCATTTCCTGTATATTCCAGCACTTCTTTGATGATTATCTTGATCCAGCGTTAAAAAAATTTTTTTTGAAAGAATATAAAGAATTAACTGTGATTGCGATTCCTCCATGCTCTTACAAATCTCTTATTTTCATCTTAAATTCCATATACACTGCCTGTAATATCCCAGTTCTTTCTTCCAGAATATGAAGAGCAAGTGGCAGTACATTTTCTTGGGCTTTCTATGATTTGAAAGCTAAATTAAGTTGAACATTTGTTTTTCTTTCTCTCAAGTTGATAGAACGCTGTAGAAATACTGAGCCCACAAACACTACTTTATTTGCATAGTATTCTGTATTGTAAAAATGTGTGATCATTGCCTGCTTTTTAGCATTCCAGGAGGCAGCAGCTGCTGAACTGTTCTTGAGATATTCTCCCTTAACTCCACCTAAGACATGGAAAGACTTTGGGGGAACACCCCAAAGATGTTTTTTCAAGAGGCAACTGGACTTTCTTGTTTTTCTTTGAAGATGTTTTCTCTTCTCATCCAAGAAGCTTCTTTAACTGTGGGGAGAATATTTTTTTTGCTAAAGTTGAGGCTGGTCAGTTTGAAGAATATAAGTCAAGAATTTCCAGAATTGTTCTAGTAAATGAGAACTATATTTTTTTTCCAATTGGAATTCAATTTTTTTTCTTGATAGCTCCTATTAAGCTACTGTAATATGCCTGGATTCACATATTGCAGTAAGTCATTATAGCTCTTTTGTTTATTCGGGGGAGGTAAACATGTTGCATGAAGCCAGCCATTGTGATTTGTAAATTATGGCTTATAGCGTAATATGTGCAAATCTTGTCAGGTATAGTTCAGTAAAGCATTGTTAAACAACCATGGCGTAATGGAGTCTGTGAGGGCAGCCATTGCCTCCCACTAAACATTAAGCTTATTAATGGAGTAGAAAATTACTTACATATAATTCAATCTGATTATAGGGAACTTTTTATCATCTCCATTTTGTTTATTCTAGAACTGCATAGAAGAATCCAAACATCTATCTGTCAAAATGTGATTGTATCCAGTTTATGTTTTAGAACCTTAATATGAGCAGGGCAAGTTTGTCACAACTGTCTCAAATCCCATGGCTTTTGATGGCACTAAAATCCCCTTCCCAATCAGATATTCTTCAAATAGTGTTGGCTTATACTAATGTAATCCGCCAGCTTGCAACGATTATACAGCTGGAAAATTTAGCACGCCTGGAGGGTATTTACTGAGAATAGCTGAACTGGAGGAACTTGTTAACAGATCAATTACTATCATTATTCCATTAAATCCTATTCCTGATATAGCTTAGCCATCACCATATTATGGATGCAGATTTCCTCTAAAAAGAAAACTCAGCTGTGAATACTTTAGTCAGCATATTGATGGCACAGAAGAGAAATATTTAACCACCACAATTGGGACCAGCAATTTCATTACTACCAGTAGGTGAGGCAGTCAAGTGAGATATTATACCACTACAACTTGTGATTTTACTGCCAGCTTCTCCATTGACTCTGTTTATCAGAAGCTCCCTGTGAAATGTGCAAATGGTGATCACATGACAGCAGGTTGCGACGGTTGTAAATGCCAATTGGTAGTGAAGCACCTGGATCTCAATCATGTGACCATGGGGACACTGCAATGGCCATAAGTGCAAGGACTGGTCATAAAGCTACTTTTTCATGCCATCATATAGCTAAACAGGAGACATTAAGTGAGATCTGTCTGTACTGTCATGCTGTTCCTGAGCATAAATGAAAATGCACCTGTAAGGAAGAAAACCAGTGCCATGCTCATCTCTGAAGGCAGAAAAAAAGCCAAGTTGGAGAGTAAAAGAGCACCAATGGGATAAATGACTTTCTAAAAAGAAGCAGCCTGTTCATTCCCTAGTCTGTCCAAAAGATACACGACCTGTCTTAAAAAAATGTGATGAACCTTTCTTATACAATCAAGTTGTCTAATACCGAAAGGAGAAAGAGTTAGAGATGTTTGGACTCGGCTGGTATTGTGGAGATGTTTGAAAAAAAGAAGACAGAAAGACATTATTGATCTGGTGTTTTATTAATCTGTCTTCTTTAAACATTTTTCATGTGTACTGTGTTTTCCCTGTTCATAGTAGTATGAATGCCATATTTTAGAGAAAACAGAAAATAGTATTATTTCAAATAATAGGGGTACAATCTAGAGAAAAACAATCAGCCAAGGACCAACTGATGTCAAGGGATATTAAAAATACAGATAAGGGGACTACAGGGGAGATATAATAGAAAGGAATGGGCTGAGTTGGTCACTTGGTGATTTCCCTCCTCCCCAAGATAAAAATAGAAAATGATTGAGGAATGTGGGTGGCAAAAGAAAGTTATAAAATATTTTCTCTTTTGAAATGAATGAAATAGAGGATTTATTCAGAGTGTATGAATATTTTTATGTAAAAGAATGCACAAAATTGGATGGTGATTATTCCTATGTATATAATAGACCAGAATAAGCAACTTGATACTTTCAGATACTATTGGCAGAAGTTGATAGGAATTGATAGCTAAAACATCTGGAAAGCTCTTGCTATCCAAATGCATTCCTATACTTTGAATGCTGCCATCTTTTTGGTACAAGTCAAGCCTTTTTAGTTAGGAATTGTGAATTGTTTGCTGATATGCAGTGGTTTCGGTTTGCAAATAATCAGAAACAAATATTCTGCAGTTGATCTTTTGCAACAATTCTTCTGCATGTGAGTTACATAGTTTGTACAAAAATAAGAAAGGGTTTCAAAACTGTTTTCATGTGAAATGTTGGAATCCAGTAACTTTATGGAATTAGGAGTCTTATCTCTGAATACATAAGCTTAAAATTTCTCAATAACTTTCTTAAGCCAAGCAATACAATTCCATGTCTTCAGTTATAAATGATGCTTTTTATGTGTTTTTTTTAAAAAAAACATGGATTTCAAATTTTTCCAACAGTTCCAATTTTTATCTGGAAAGAAACAACTTTGTTTTCCTTCAATTCTTCCAAACTTTTGGCAATAATACAAAACACTGGTACATATGTCATTCTACCCAATATTTATATTTACATAGCATACCAAGATTAGGTACTGGATTATAATCAATTTTCTGGATATGTATAATATGCTAAACTATGAAATAGCCAAATAGGCTGGATTCATACAATACATTAATTTAAAAACAAAATCAAACCAATGATCTGGTACAGCAGATTATCTTTGTTCTCAGGTTTATCTAATCAGTGACTGATCATATAAAATATATGCATATAAAATATATACAGACAATGTTGTAAGACTTGTTTTTAGGGTTAAATGCTTTTTTCCCCCTTCTATAATTTTAAACAAGTGAGGTGAGTTTATGCTGCCTTCCAGCAAGATCTAAAAAAAAAGCAAAGATTAATTCCTACCAGATGGCCATCTGTATTGCAATAGATGTATGCATACCAGTCAATCAGCCCAATTTTATTTGGATTTGCAAAGAACATAGACCAGGTTTTCCTTTGCAAATATCTGCTCTCAAATTAATAATGGAGATGTTTCCTTCTCACTATCCTCATTATTCTAATTCTGTGCAGCAGCTCCAGCTAGTTATAGTTAGTAATAATGATTACCAATTAAAATAGCCAGCTATATATTGCCAGGAAAAAAGAATGCATCATCAAAAGGAAAGACATGGACATAGACAATTAAAATTCAATACTGTAGGAATGCAATGGATTCTCAGTGAAATAAGAGGTGATGGAAAAAGCTGATAAGGTTCATCCATTGAACTAAATCACATATAACCACTTTTAAGAGTGAGATGGAAAACACATAAACCTAATAAATTTTTAAAAATGTATCAACAGTTTTCACCCAACAGTTCCTCAAGCTTGAAAGCTGGCAGGAGAGATTCAAGGAGACAGATGTTTGACAAAATGTTTTTATTACAGATACTAAAAAGGTAATAATAGAGTAATCAATAACTGCCAGCTGCATACTAAAAGCCATGTGTACATGTAGCATTCCCAAAGTTCAAACAGTACATCCACCGTGAGGGCAGGTTTCGTCTCAGTGGAAGGGCTGTAATGCTGTTCATTGATGTTCATCCACTGACGTTATGGTCCTGTCTGAGGTTGGGGGTCTTGACTTCTGATCTTGATGATTCTGGCCCTCAAAATTTGCTTAGTTTCAGTTCAGTATATTCAATCAAATTTAGCTTGCAGATCCTGGTTTTTGTAGCTTGATATATCATGTAAATTGTGATTTGTTCAATAAAGTGTAGCTAAGCATACCATGTAGAGCACAGTGTGTGACTGCATTCAATGACTAAGTGGCTTATGCCTACTCAAGATGTTGCCTTGGGAAAGTTCATCAGCAGCCTTCATGCTTAAATTCTTTCAGGATGGTTCTGATTAATCTGGACTTGTGAATAGAGTTGAGGTGGGAATCTTGATTCCCAGTGTTTCTGAACTTTCATTTCCAGTATTGTTCAACTCAGTATAGTTTAAGGTGCTGGCAGGATTTTTTAAATTATTTTTTAGAATAGTTTTATTCTGTAGATCAAGCTTCTGGCCTCCTTCAGTGCAGAACTGCCCCTGTAGCTCCACTTTAATTAGAAGATTGTCCATTCTAAAATAATTCTTCTATCCTTCAAATTTGGGAAATTTAGTTTTTTTAAAAAAACTATCAAGTTTTATTACATTTTAATATTAGCGTACTAAATAGTCTCTTTAAAATAAATATGTATGTGTTAAGGTTATAGTAATCCATACTTCCTTTCCTGTGTTCTTTTGTTTTTAAGAAAGAACAGGACGGATATATAACATCCTCCTGGAAAACATCTATAGACTTGTTTATATGCGAGACCTCAACTAATAATGATTCCATGCCTCGGGTGCTATTCAGCAAGTTCTGACAGGTTCTGGAGAACCGTTATGGAAATTTTGAGCAGTTCGGAGAGCTGGCAAATACACTTCTGACTGGCCCCAGAGTGGGGGTGGGAATGGAGATTTTGCAATATCCTTCCCCCAGGAGTGGAGAGGGAATGGGAATTTTGCAGTATCCTTCCCCTGCCATTCCCACCAAGCCATGCCCACGGAACTGGTAGTAAAAAAAATTGAATTCCAACACTGCCATGCCTGTCTGCTTTTTCTTAGACTTTTCCACTGAAATATTGTCACTTCCATGTGAACATTCTGTAGGTTCTTAAGAACTTTAGCGATACCATAACTCAGATATTTAGGGTGCAAATAGTTCCAGATGCAGACCTTGACACAGGTGAAATGCTCCTGGTTCGGACCGGATTGGGTGATCCAGTAGCGATCATGTTGGGTGGTTTGGCGATCCGGTAGCCCACCCGCCCGAATGTTGTTACATCCTGGTTTTAACCAGGAAGTAATATGTTTTTTACCTTCTGCATATGAAGCGTGCACATAGCGTGTGCACTTCCGAACCGGCAAGGAAGGTAAGTAGATTTCACCCCTGCCTTGACATATAAAAAATGTCTCTGGTAACAGGAATCTGCTTAAATTACTAGAAACCCAATGAATGATTACTCTGATGAACGAATTGCATTCCATTAATGTTTTCCAACATACCCAGTGGTGGGTTTCAAAAATTTTTACTATTGGTTCTGTGAGTGTGGCTTGGTGGGAGTGGCAGGGGAAGGATACTGTAAAATCTCCATTCCCTCCCCAATCCAGGGGAAGGTTACTGCAAAATCCCCATTTCCTCCCGATCAGCTGGGACTTGGAAGGCAGATGCGGGCAGGGCCAGTCAGAATTTTTACTACCGGTTCTCCGAATTACTCAAAATTTCCGCTACCAGTTCTCCAGAATTGATCAGAACCTGCTGAAACCCACCTCTGAAGATACCTGGTTGGATTTATAGAGCAGTAAGCCAGAATTTGATTTTATGTCTTTTTTTTAACCTAATGAACTGTACTTTGCAATGTATAGTTTATTGCTGAGTGTTATATATATACCCAGCCATTTTGGCTTATTCAACTTACCATGATTAAAAGAAACCACAGGCTTGCAATGGTTGTACTTTCCACTCCAATATATATCAATACACTTAATTGTTGGGCAGCTTTAAAGTATTGCATATAATATACTTTAGCATTTTCGAACCTAGTGTCTTCTTGGTATACTGGAGTGTAATTCTCACTAGTTCCTAACCAACAAGTTCTAAGTTGTTTTGTCTGAGGGGGGTTAAAAAAGTTAAAAGTCTAAATGTTTCTCAACTTTGGCAACTCTTAAGATGTATGGACTTCAATTCCCAGAATTCCCCTGCCAGCTGAAGTACACTATATATACACATTTTAATTAGAGTTGCCAAGATTGAGAAACACTGGTCTAAGACATTTAGAAGGTCAATGAAATTAGGCTGTGGTCTCCTTAAATAAGATGAAATAGTTGCCAAAAGCATCATATGTGTAGCCCAGACCATGTAACTGCTTACTTGCTAACTACTAGTGGGCATCTTTGCTGCAGTGAAGAGAGTTTTATCTTATGGGAAATTACAGGCACCTACACTGCAGGAGAAGCAGTCACAAGGCAAACACTAGAGATACAACTGATCTCTTCTTCCTCCCTGTGGCTTGTGAAAATCTACAGAGATGTATTTAAGGCCAATTCTATAATTGAAATGGAGAAGGATCATAGAATCAATTACATCAGGAATGTCAAACTTTTTCATTTGAGAGCCGCATCAGGGTTGTGTTTGACTTAGGAGGCCCAGGATGGGCATGGCCAGCTCGATGTTACTTGTGGCAGGGGGTGCATGTGGTGGTCTGAACATTCTGCCAACGAAAATGGGCACCCAAGTTTCATTTTCAGCTGCGATGGCCGCCTGAAACCATCTGCCAGTGAAAATGGAGCTCGGGAGGGCTGCCTGTCTCCCTTCCAAGCTCCATTTTAGCTGGCAGAGATACCGCGGGCCAGTCCTTTGCTGTTTCCAGGACGGCCCCATGGGCCACATCTAAGCACCCTGTGGGCCGGATCTGGGCCCCAGGCCTTGAGTTTGACACCCTGGATTACATTAATTCAAACTGTGAGTGGCACAATCCAATTGTGAACATTCTATATTAAAACTAATCATGCACATATGCAAACATTTATGCATTTTAAAACCCCAGCAGCAAATAATGCTTATCCATCTCTGATAGATGTTTTGTTTTTCTATTTGTGTGTATGTGCTTTTGAAACAGCTAATACCATCTGCATTTTCTATCCATTCTGTCTTCTCCCTGCCCCCATTATTGCTATATTCTGCTTTAGTGTAAACCAGATTTCATTCTGCAGGCATTGGTTGTGGACCAATATCCTATTGTCTTTAGTTCTTATTTGTATATTCTTTCACATTACTGATTCATTTCCCATGGTAGTTATTTTCTTAAACCATGATAGCCGGTAAGGAATATATAACAGGAAAAACTGAAGCCATAGGGCAAAGGTCATTCTTGGACATTATAGGCTTGGGATAGCTTTTTGGGCTAGGAAGAAAAGTTTTGTTCATAATGTATGGTCTGAATGCACCCAGCTATGGTACATTTTGAGTAATCCATTGTTAATAAACCACTTTGTTTTTCTCATGATTGTTCCCATGCTAAACATATTTTTCTGAAATATGATTAAGTTTTGATAGCATCGATTTTCAAGCAAGCCTGATTTAAGATTGGCTTTTTTTTTCAGCTGCAAGCTTATGATTTCATTATAGTTTTTGGTCTGTCTGCAAATGAAGTTGTTTTTTTGATTAAGGAATAGTCATGAAAAATGTGTTTCATTTCACATAAGGTTGTAGGGAAGGGGAAATAATCATTTGTTGAGGGACACATCTTCCCTCTTCTTAATTTGGAACCAACCTGGGAATACATTAGGCCAGACTTTCCCAAGGTGGTACAAGTTCAGTTAAAGCTGGAGAGCATCAAGCCTGGAAAGATACCCTCTGTGGCTTTCTTTCACATTATAAATTCATTTTTGGCTTGCTGTGGCTTGGGTACAGTCTAGAGGGTAAGAGTAAATTTGTTTTGCTTGTGTATTGCTTTGAGGCAGGATTAGACTTGGATTCATTTGGCAGACTGTTTGGATTGTTCGTATTTTCTCTATTTGTAATAATGCCAAGGATACAATTTAACAACAGTTGTAAATGGTGTTGCAATATAGCAAAACTGATGTCTGGGTTTCTCAAAATTTTAGTTTTCCTGATATTTCCTTTGGTATCTTTCTCTGTTTTCCTATTATATTAATAATATCTGTCTTTTCTCTGTATGAAATAAATAATTTTTAAAGAGGTTCTGAAATGTCTTTTTTTAAAATCTAATCCATCTGTGATGACTGAGACTATTTTTACAGGAATTGGGGACACTTTTAGAATGACAATGAAATATAAAACACAGTAGTCCTAATAGGTGGGTAAATAAGGAAGTAAAACATTTATATTCTAGAGCTGATATGCAATTTCTTCATGTTTTGAGTCTAATACATGGACCTGGCATTCAAATAGATCCTGACATAGATGAACTTGGATCCTATAAAATAACAAATAAATTTTTTATTTTTAATTTTATAACATTTAATAAAAAATGCCCACAGCCAAAGCTCTCTGGGCAATAAGAAGTTTAAACAATTTCAAATTGCAAATCCAATAAAATATCTGAAATCACTACAACTAAAAAAGGACCCAAGGAATTATATTTAAAATCAATAGATTCATAATTGGTCTCATGGTAATCAAATATATCAAAGTATCACAAATGCAACAGAAAAAGTGTTCAAAAGATGTTGCCGTAGCAAGACTTCCTTGCTAATATTCCATCAAGAATATAGATTATTTTGTAATGGAATATGTCATTAAAGACAAATGTTGGAAAGCAAAAGAAAACTGAGACATCAGAAACCCACCTTAATTGTATTTCTCAGGGGAACAAACTGATGAAATAAGTGGAAATGGAATGTGATGTTGCCTGAATTTAATAAATAAAAAAGGTGAGGGTGCAGTTATTGTATGTCCTTTTCTGGAAGTCTCTCAGCAACTGGACAATTTACCAAAGAACTTAGCTAATATATGCAAGCATATCACTATCTTATTCCTATCATACCAGCATTTTAATCAACCTTTGAAACTGGAGCATCCAAGTACAAACTACTTCCTGGAATCCCAAGAAAGGAATGGTTTTGTTGGGACTGACGCCACAGCCCTTAAAACTTGGTTAAAGTGTAGGGAATGAATAAACAGCCCAGCCCCGTCGATTAACAGACTCTGATGATTGATCGATCATGTTCTATCGATGCAACCAATGACTAGATTCCCTCATTAGCCACCCACAAAACGCCACCTTTTTGCATCTCGCTTCATTCAAAGTTTGAATAGGCACCGCGCTGTGCAAACTAACGTTTATCTCGTGTGTGTGTGTTTGTCTGTGAGAGACAGAGAGAGAGCAGCAACAATAAAGGCAAAGAGTTTTCCCCAGCCCTTTCTATGGGATTTCACACACACACACACCGTTCTTGGGGGTGGGGGTCTCCAAGGCTAGGCGGAAGGCTTCCGGCCGGTTTTCGCCGCCCCCCTCTGGGCTTGTTCCGCGTGCAAGGCAGAGGCGATGCCGCTAGAGGGCTCTGGCCATTGTCAAAAAAGAGAGAGAGAGAGCGAGAGCGAGCGAAGCGGCTGTCTCCTTTTCTTTGGCTGCCGCCACCGTTGCTGCTGCTGCTACTGCAGCTCCCGTTGCCGCTGACGATTTTGGGGGCTGAACTTCCCAGGTCAGAACCAGAGAGAGCGAGTCCTGTTGTTGCTGTTTCTTCTTCTGCTTTCGTAGCAGCCGCCCGGAATCGACCCAGCCCGAGAACTAGCAAGCCGCTGTGCCAAATCGGGAAACGTGGAATCTCGGCTTTATTTATTCTTCATTTGATAGGCAAGATTCTCAAGTCGGCAGCTCGGGGAGTCAGAGTCGTCTAGGTAATTCGAGGTGATTGGGAGTGGGCACTGGCCAAAGTCCAGCCAGGCAACTTCCTCGGTGAGGGGGAGGGAGAGAGGAGGAGGAGGGGAAAAAACCTATCACAAACGAGAGGAGGCAAGGCATGGCACTTTCTTCGGCGCTTCTTTCAAACAACAGTTGAGTCCCGTTTCCCCCCCCCCTTTTCTTGTTGGTGTGAAAATCCGAGGGCTCCCTAGACTCACAAACAAGAGACCTGGGTTAGGAGGGCGAAGCAATAACAGCAACAAAGCTTCCAGGAGAAGCTTTGGAGAATGGCACTTCTTAAGGGTGGATGGAGGAGTAGGGAAATCTCTACACATTCCTCCCTGGAAGGGCTTGAGTGTTACTACAGCCCACATGCTCTGCAGAAATTCAATTGGTGGAGTTTTACTCCTAATAGCTCTTCCAGGCCAGGAAAAGCTTCACCTGTTGAATTTCCAGGCGATTTTAACAGAGTGCTAGGAAGTACAGCAAGACAGGTAAGTAGGATTGTTGTAGGATTGGCACGGACTACAATTCCCAATATCCCTGGCCATCAGTAATGCTGACTGGGGTTGATTGGCGTTGCAATCCAACAACTAGTGGAGGGCATTCTTCACTTTATAGGGCCGGCAAACCAAAGGCCAACTAGTGTGAAATCAGAATTGTTAGTACTATGACTGAAAGGCCTATCATTATAGGCCAACAGAGTTAGTTTTGGCTTCTGAGCAGGGAAAATTATTCTTTCAGAGGCCAGAGCCTTCTGCAGAAGTGACTGATGTATTTTGCTGAGATACAATGGGCCCTTCTGGACCCATGCCAGAGACCTGTCTACAGGGACATTGTGCAGGACAATTTTGGGACTCTACTGTCACTAGGTAAGGATTTTTATTTTTCTTTCTTTTCTTTTTAAATTAAAATATTGAGGCTATTTTGACCTGAGAATCCCAAAATGAATTAGCATAATTGCATTAGTTTTTGTTGCTATCATAAAATGTTAAGCCTTTGAAAAACAGAATTATTCATCAGGTAGGACAAACTCTGTAACTTGGAAAATTGCATTATACTATGTCCACAAATGTCTCTCCAGTAAAATAATCTTCACATGCCTGTTTATTGTGAATAATTAAAAGAAACTAAGCTCACGATTGTCCTATGTGCTGACAGGTGAAAAGATAAACACGAGCATATTTCTTGCCCCTGTGTATTTATATAATTTCATAGCTTCTGAATCATTTCAAACATTCTGGTTGAATTTAATAGAATTCTGCGAGTTAGCTACCAAATGTCAGGAACTGGCAAAAAGGGTTAGCACCTCCTGTTTGTGTCATCTTCTGTGTCACAGCTCAGATTTGGATATGCCTGGAAGGTGTAAGTGATAACATTAGCAGAAGGGAAAGGTATTTTCAAATAATTTCTGATCCAGTTCTTCCACAGAGCCTGGGATGGGCAATAACAACTAAAAAATAAACCTGCAGCCTGGTAAAGTGTCCATTACCTTCCTTAGAATAACACACCAATGAATGGCTGTAACTTCCCCACCACCACTGCTCGCTTCACTCTCTTTCTTTTGGCAGACGGAGGAACCATGAATTCAAATTCACAGCCGGGCGGGCCTGAGGGTATGCAGAAGCAAGTCCAAGGGCGGCCTGAGGGCTCTGCATATGGGGGACAACTTTCAGCTGGGCAGCTGAGTGAAGAGGCAGGAAAAGGATGGGTCAAGCCGCCTCTTCTTCCTCCAATGACAAAAGACAACGCCACCATCCCACCCCATGGAATTCATATGGGGCCTGGCCCCAGCCTGTGCATCCAGTGTGGAGAGAGCCTTGCCCAGACTCAGCAGAGCCTTGCCCAAACTCAGCAGAGCCTTGCCCAAACTCAGCAGAGCCTTGCCCAGCCTAAGAGATCTCTCCTCTCTGCTGATAAGCAATACCCCTGCTCCGATTGTGGGAAAAGCTTTGGTGTCAGCTCCCACCTCACAATTCATCGGAGAACTCACACTGGTGAAAAGCCCTACGAGTGCAATGATTGTGGAAAAAGTTTTAGCCAGAGCTCCACACTTGTCCTCCACCGCCGCATCCATACAGGAGAGAAGCCATATAAGTGCACAGATTGTGGGAAGAGCTTTTCCGTTAGCTCCCATCTGACCAAACACCAACGAATCCACACAGGAGAGAAACCATATGAATGCCAGGTGTGTGGGAAAAGGTTCAGCCAGAGCTCCACCCTCATTCTTCATCAGAGGATCCATACAGGGGAGAGGCCTTATAAATGTGATGAATGTGGCAAGACCTTCAGCGTCAACTCGCACCTCACCATTCACCAGAGAATCCACACAGGAGAGAAACCATTCCGTTGCATGGAATGCGGGAAGAGTTTCCGACAAAGGTCTGGTCTTAGCACTCATCAGAAAACTCACATGATGCTTGTGAGACCTTATAAGTGCCCACCTTAGAAAGTTGAACCCACAAGTCTATCTGCAAGTACCACCAAAATTCTCCAACACACACACACACACAGACACACACACACACACACACACACACACACACACACACACAAAATAACAGAGTTGGAAGGGACCTTGGAAGTCTTCTAGTCCAACCCCCTGCTTAGGCAGGAAACTACACAACTTCAGACAAATGGTTATCCAATATTTTCTTAAAAACATCCAGTGTTGGAGCATTCACTACTTCTGGAGGCAAGTTGTTCCACTTATTGATTGTTCTAAATGTCAGGAAATTTCTCCTTAGTTCTAGGTTGCTTCTTTCCTTGATTAGTTTCCACCCATCGCTTTTTGTCTTGCCCTCAGGTGCTTTGGAGAATAGCTTGACTCCCTCTTCTTTGTGGCAGCCCCTGAGATATTGGAGCATTGCTATAATGTCACCCCTAGTCCTTCTTTTCATTAAACTAGGCATACCCAGTTCCAGCAACCATTCTTTATATGTTTTAGCCTCCAGTCCCCTAATCATCTTTGTTGCCCTTTTCTGCACTCTTTCTAAAGTCTCTACATCTTTTTTACATCATGGCGACCAAAACTGGATGCAGTACTCCAAGTGTGGCCTTACCAAGGCATTATAAAGTGGTATTAACACGTCATGTGATCGTGACACAGAAAGAGAGTTTTTAAAAATCAATACAGAGAAGCAAATTGACCACATAATTTTGCACTGGGAAGGCAGACTTCAGGAACTCAATTTAGATTTTTGTAATTATAATCAAAAGAAGTCTTATATAAATGTGCATATTTTGCCTTAACTTGCTTGCTTTGTGATAGACACACTGCTGGATAGTGTGGAATTTTGATATGACACTTGAACAAGTGAAAAGTAAAGCTCTCAACTGAATAAAGATCCAGAACTTACATCTATATGCAAGAACAAGGATGAATCAGGCCTACTTGGAAGTTATATTACTGGATTAAATTCCTGCTCTCCAATATGCCTCTACAAGTCCAGCTTCCCAGCACAGATGGTTGGTCTTTTCCCTGATATATTCTGCTCCATGAAGAGACGGTGGTTGGAGAAAGAATCAGTTTATCATTTCTGAGTTCATACTACTCTTTCCAATGTTAGTTATCTGGAGAATGTCTGAAACATGATTACACATCCTAATACACCAAACAGACAGTACTGGTAACATGTGGAATTACCCTCTCTTATCATTTGTTCTCCTTTCTTGGGCAATGGCTAAATAATTCTTAAAGATTCACAAAGCATTTTAAAAGTGAAAGAACACAAGAAAAGGGAGGGAAATGTGAATACCAGCAACTCCTGATCTCTTCACATCATTGCTCTGCCATTTTGTAAACAGTTCCTTTAACCTAGTGGTTTCCCATTTCTACTATCATTTTTAAATGGCTGTTACTGTAATTGTTAGCTATTTTCTCTGTTGTATGACTGTGAGCCTCATCTGGGCCTGTGGTGTGAATTAGGAAGTGGGATAGCAATTTAATCGGTCATAATTAATAACTTCTTTCTGAAATGTTTGAAGGAGACACCACCTCCCCAGTTCACAACCCAAAAAGAATACATTTCATCTGTGTTTTAATTTAAAGGAGAAGAAGAGGATGTAGGCTGAAACTTACAGAGCAAGACATTTCCTGAGATCTGGTCTGTTCTTTTGAAAAACCCAGAACTATAGGGTATCAAAGCAGTATCTCCTGTGCTAATTCTGCTCCTCCTGATTTATCTTCAGTTTTTTGCTTCAGCTAAGTGGCATTCTGAATAGAAAGAATGTTGAACATGCCTACATTTATTTAGGGTTAAATGGGATCTCTGAATTTGTCTGCAAAGCCTGCCTCTTAACTGCATGAACCACATATAAGTCATCTTTTGTCAACATGATGCCAAATTATTTCTTCCATGTGTCTCCAAAACTGATAGCTGGAAATTACAGCAATCAAAATTCAACATATGTGAAGATCATCTGTTTGAAGACAATTTACATAAGTGCTACTATCAGAACTAACAAAACTAAAGAATTAGAGAAAGTCCATTCCTGCTTTGTTTTGTGTAATAATCTATTGTACCATTTTTGTAGCTTTAGAAGCTTTTCAGCCATTTATGTTTCTTTATCAATAAATCTCTCGCTACTGTCTGACCCTGTATCTGACTTCACTAAAAAAGAATTAAATTTCAAAGAATTGCATGAAAGCATTTTGTAGGCTTATTTTTAAGTGATTGCCGGCAGACGTATTGTTTCTTTTCTTATTTCTCTTCCTAGAATAAAACCAACTCTGTAAATAATGTGGGGAGTAGTTTTAATAATTTGTGTGTTGGGACCGCTTCTTTTTCTAATATATATATATATATATTGCAGGTGGGGAGATAAGAATATGTGATTCAGTGGTGGGTTCTCCCGGTTCGGTCCGGTTCGGCCAAGCCGGTAGCGGTGATATGATGTCACCGAACCGGTTCTCCCCCCCGCCCTCCCACCCACCCCCACGTTATTCTTACCTTTTATTTGATCCCACCCCCAATCTATTGCTGCCTCCTGAGTCCCAGCTGATGACTAGAGGGAAAAAACTGTTTAAACTCTTGCCGTGGAGCTTCAAAGGGCCGTCCTACAGCTGATCAGTGTTTAAAGTAAACAAATGAGTCGGGTCGTAAGTGCGAGGACCTTCCAGAAATGACTGACCAGCTAGCCATGCCCACCTAGTCACATGACCTCCAAGCCACACCCTCAAAATAAGCCACGCCCACAGAACCGGTAGTAAAAAAATTTAGAACCCACCCCTGATGTATTGTGTCACTTTAAACTCCCCAAAAGATAAAAAAGACATGGCTTTCACTTGTTTTGAATTATAACACGATCACCCTCAATCATCAATGGTAAGTGTTGGTTGGAATTTTAATCCAATTTAAATTTTAAACCTTGGCTACGTAGGAAAAACCTGGCTAGAGGAAAAACACACATAAATCCTACGAAGAAGTAAGAATATATATATACACACACACACACACACACACACACACACATACATACAATATATATATATTGTATATATTGTGTATATGTGTGTATGTGTATATATATATACACACACACTAGATTTTTTTCTCCCTCTTTGGAATAACTTGTCTTTTAAAGAACAGACCATGTTTTCATGTTTACCAGTTGACCATGTCAAATTTCCACAATATTTTGCAGCCCGTGTCCAGGATCTCAGTTTGGGAAATGATAAAATAAAATATTTATTACTTGTTGATCCCAGCTTAATTACCAAATTAACCCAAAAGAGTACTCTGAATTTAAGATGACCCACCTCCCTAAAATATAAATTGGCCAGAAAAACATAGTTTGTCCCTATTACTGTACTTTCTGTGCATCTGTGGTGACATTTCATTTTTAAAGGTAAATCATTGCATAAAGATAAAAAATTTGATTCAGATGAATACAAAACTGCAATTCCCCCATCGGATAGTTTTTTATGGCACAGATCTATGTAATTTTCTTTCTCCATGGATGTGGCATTATTACAAATACTATTTTCTTTCCTTTAAAAATAGCACAACAGTTTGTTTTGCATTTAATACTGTCCACTCACACAAGTTTCCAGATGTAATTCATGGCACATGTAAAAGATGGAATTTCAAGCAATGGCCAAAAAAAAAAAAAAAACAATTTTCAGGAGAAGAAAGGCTGGGAAAGAATAGCAGAAAGACATCTGGTACCATGGCTTTTCTGGGAGATCTCATGGCTGAGGTGCTCCAAATATTAATTCTACAGCATAGATTAAAGGCAATGTTAAAAACCAAAATTCCAAAACTGTTTTGGCTGAAGGAATGTGGAAGATAAATTTCAACAATTTCTATCAGCCAAACAAACAGGAATATTTTAAAGAAAGAATTACCTAAAATTTTGTCCATTGAACAAAAAAAGGTGAAATTTCTACATAGTTTTGCATTGTATTCTAAAAATTAGAAAGCTATTTTAGTAGTAGGTATGGAAATTGAGCTGTAAAACCATCTAATTTTCTAAGAAATTTTCATTCTTGTTTCTTTGCGGTGCCATGGCCCCAGGTGAAATTCTATAGAAATTAATGTAAATCACTATTTATTGTTGCCAAGTTACACAGCCACAATGTATAAGATTACAGATAAGTAAAAGTGGCTGACTTTTGAAAAAAGACTGGCAATATGCAATTCCTATTTGAAAGCTTTCTAAAAAAGTTTGATAAAATGATTGTAGAAAATATTCAGATACATCTAACCATATATAAATCAGACTCACAAAAGGAATGTAATTTGAAAGCAGTAGATTTGCTGGAAAGAAATAAGGAATCTACAGACCTAAGTCTTACAGACTTAGAACTAACTTGAGTTGATTCTCACACCTCTTTGAAGTTCAAGCCTACATTCCTTGACAAAAGCAAAAACCTGACTGAGTAGACAGGGAATAAACTGGCTTTCCTTACGAAAATTAAAGGGGATTGAAATATGCATTTATCACATTCAACTGCAAAATAATTTCATCTGGACTTTTTGGGGACCAACTTTGGAAATTGGACCTATTATATTTAACCAGAGAACAATTGATAAGAAATGGTATTAAGAAACAAATGTGGATATTTGATCCAGAATGAATCATGGTTATCTTCTGGGATGATTTGGGATATATAAATTGCCATAGTAAATTTTCTACAAATTGATGACAATAACATTTTGTTAACAGAGTTTTTGAAATTTTAATCTGTTACAGCCATGTATTTGTATAATTATGCTCGTATTTCAGAATGCTAAATATTAGTAAAGTATTAGTAAAAACAGATTTTAAGTTCAAATGTTTTATTTGCTTAGCCATTTTCTTAAACAATGTCTTCATCTTATACTGTGATTGAATGATCTCCTTGAAGGTAAGACTAGGATTTCTTCATCAGTAAATATCCCAAATGGTTTTCAATGCAGTGGATGGCTAGGTTCATACAAAAATGGCCCATTAACAGAATAACAGAGTTGGAAGGGACCATGGAGGTTTTCTAGTGTTACCCCCTACTCAAGCAGGAAATGCTATAAAAGGGCTGTCAAACTCCCGGCCCACGACCCAGATGCATCATGCACTGGCCATGCCCCTGCCCGGTTTAGCAAAGGGGAAAAAAGTCCCGATACATCACGTGATGATGTTAGTTTGACATCCCTGCCCTATAACATTTCAGACAAATGATTGTCCAACCTCTTCTTAAAAACCTCTAAATTAATTTAGAATTTCAGATCATTTCATGGACACACTTTTGTTTTTTAAGAGCGTAGCTGAGTATATTTCTGATTCAGTCATGAAAAATTCCTAAATATAATCTAGCAAAGATACAGTTTGAGGAAAGGTGTATTAGCTGCAATAAATCAGTATTCTACACATGGATATATAATTCAGAGAACTACAAGTTGTCCAACCACATTTTAACTTATTGCACAAACCCAGCCGGTGCAGTCAATAATTTGATGTGTCATATAAGCTTAGACCATTGGATTAACTGAAAAGCTATTTGTGAGGTTGTGCTATCAGTTCTGATAGAATAAATTAAGAGTTTTTATTCAAGAAGCAAATGAACAAGCTCAAATTATCCTATTTTGGCTACATTATGGTAAGACCCAGCTCCCTTAGGAAAGTCATAAGGCTTGGACAGAGAGAAGAAAAGAGGATGACCAGAAGCAGGATGGATGGACTTGGTTACAATTGGGGGAAGGGGAGGGAGGAAGAGAGAGAGAGAGAGAGAGAAGCTATCACTCTGGAGAGATTGTTGCTAAGAGTCAACTCTATAACATATTAACAGTCAAAATAGCTATGAGTGTGTACCCATAAATTAAAGGTGAAGTTTAGAACTTTTCTTTTTCAAATGTAACTTGCAGCTTTTTCTATAAAACCATTATTACCTCTGAGTAAATACAACATGTCCGGGGAAGCAAAAGCAAATTTTATTGTATCTATGGAGATATAAGCCGCATAGATCAAGAAACAAACCGGCCATTTGCTTAGGAAGTTTCTCTTTTAAAAATCCAAGTTTTTAAAAATGCTCCCTTTTGCTGTAATGCTTCGGGAATGGGCACACGGGTCGGTGAAACGCTTTACAAGAGAAAGCACGACAGTAAATAAATAGAATCCGCTCGCTCGAAGTACAGTTCCCAAATCTGCAGATCTCTATCTAGTTCTGGAAATATATTTATGGAGAGCAGCAAGGGTTAAGACCGTAGATCAATTCAGGTTCCGCTCTTGCCTGTAGCTAGAGCGGTTAGCTCTTCCGATTCTGGGTTAGAAATGATTCAATTCCTGTCGTTTCCTCTTGCAGTCCCACCCTAAATAATTTCCAACGCAGATTCTGAGCGCCGCGAAATCCGACCTCTCCTTATGTTTGGAGTTAGGAGGTCTCAAAATCGAGCTATCTTTGAGCTGAGAAATGAGGTCAGAAGCGGAGCGTTTGGAGGAGTGGCCAGGTGTAAAATAGCAAAGAGGGATAGGAAAGCTTCCCCATCTTGTGCGTGGAAGTCTACTAGTGCGTGCACGGGGGATACGCTCTGCGCACTCAAGATGGATAAAAATATAATATAAAAATATTAAGAAGAGAGGATGCAAGGCTGAGGGATCTATAATAGCAGAGAAAATCACCCTGCATTGAGGACGCTTTAATGCGGGATTTCTCAACCTCAAAAACTTCTACTCTCAGAATTCCCCAGCATGAACACTGGTTGGGAAATTTGGGGGATTCTCTTTATGAGGTCCACACATCATAAAGTTGTTAAGGTTGAGAAACCCTGCTTTAATACAAGAAACTCTTATGTCTCCATCACACCCCAGAAACTCTTGCCATTCATCTGCTACAGTATTTCACTTAAAAATACCAGATCTGTTTTCAGAGCCTTTTAAGTCGCAGCCAGGAAATCAAGTTTTTTTTTTAAAAAAATGCTGTTGAGTGAGTGCAAAGTTTATCCCATCATTACAAATTGAAGGTAGCTTTCCCTTTCCTCAAAGGAAATTAAGGTACAGCTTTGAAGGCAAAGGTGAGGCCCAGGGCAGGTTTATATCCAAATCCTGTGACTATCACTAAATGTTGTATCTTATGATTTATGATGAATGCATTTTTATGATGATTATGATCATGAATTATCACTTATAGCTTTCATGTACACTGAGAGTTTATGAATCGAAAATAAAATCCTTGTGTGTCCAATCACACTTGGCCAATAAAGAATCATATTCTATTCAAATGTCCTCTGTTTAATCTACTAAATGCCACAGCTGTTTCTCCTGCATCCTCATGTTTCTAATGATCATCCCAGATTAGGACCAGATAAGTTTCTGGATGCAAAGATGTGCCATATGCAAATTCCCTAATGAGGTGGTAGCTTGCCATCAGTTGAGCAGCCGGGAGCCTGAGTTGTTTTGGGGAATACAGGGCTGAATTAAGTACGAGTATTCCTTGATGTACAGCAATTTGGTTAGTGATCATTCAAAGTTACAAAAGCACTGAAAAAGTGACTTGTGACCCTTTTTCACACTTATGACCATTGCAGCATCCCATGGTCACATGATCAAAATTCAGATGCAATATAGCAACCAACTCATATTTATGATGGTTGCAGTGTTCCAGAATCATGATCACCTTTTGCTACCTTCTGACAAGCAAAGTCAATGGGGAAGCCAGATTCACTTTACAACTATGTTGCTAAATGACTGCAGTGGTTCACTTAAGAACTGCGGCAAGAAAGGTTGTAAAATGGGAGAAACTCACTTAACAACTGTCTCTAAGAAAATGTCTTTAAAAGGTTTACATCTGATTCCATTTTGGTAAAGTTCAGGGAGGGGTATGAAACCTTCCAGTCTCATGATGCTTTCATCCTGACCCATTTATGAAACTTTATGTGAGATACAGATTTTATCCTTCCTGGCCCTTCCATTATTTCTCAACACTAATATTTTCTTTTGAAGATAATTCACAAAGAAAGGACAGGCAGAAAAAAACCTACAAATTTGACCCTAATAGGGCAAGAAACTATCAGTCTGAGAGTGGCAAAGAAAGGAGAATTGAGGGAGGGCATTCCTACTCATTTAGATTAATGAAACCTAGTTTTCTCAAAATCTTTCATCTCGTTCTTGAATTTGAATGTGTTTATTGCCATAATTTCTATGATACTATTTTTGATTTTATGAAATACCCATGTTATCTGGATCACTGATCCAGATAAACTACAAATCCATTTGTAGGTAACACTCCATCTGTAAATACATAAGCTCACCCTTATCCATATCTTCATTTAGGTCCAGCCTTTTATGCCACTGGAAATGCAGAGTCTCTGCCTTGATGGAAGGATATCATGCAGGATGGATATTATATAGCCCTCCTTTTCTTTGGTAAGGTAATCTGAATTCTAAATTTTTGAACTTAGGAAATATTTTAATGTTATTTTGGGTGATTCTTAATCCATATTGGTTTGGAAGCCTGGTTGTAGTGGAATGTGTTAAAAGGAAAGTCATATCTTCATATCTTTAAAAGAAAGAAATAACTAAAACAATCAACTATTTCTAGATTTTCTTCCCTATATATTCCTCTGGAAAGAGAATGTATCTGGGGCAATTTTCTCACCCTACTTTTTCATTTAGCTATTTTTGCTTTAAGATACCCATAAAGTTTTGAAATGACTTTTTGTTCCATCCTCACAATAGTGGTTGTTAACTGATAATGATAAATTGATGTGCTATGTTGAATTGTTATAGAAGGAATTATTGCATTACCATTGTCTTTCTCATGTATCTCAATGGTTCTCAGATGGTATAGTGCTGTGATCCCTCTAAAATAATAAATGATTTTGTGTGGCAAACTCCCCACCCCAGCAATTAAAAAAATAAAAAAATTCAGACTGCATTCTGATGGGTCTACCTGGACAAGCCACTGTTGTATATTCAGCAGTGATCCAGAAGTAAATGTGCCAGCCAGTACATCTAATCTGGATTATTATCAGAATTTATTCTCTGGACATTTAGAGATTTTTGCCTTCTTTCTAGGGCATGTTATGGCCTGCTGCTAAGTCTGGTCTAGGCAGCCTGAGAGTTGAACCTTTTCTATTTCTTGGAAGAAGGTGACACCTCACACTTCACCTGCTCAGGATGCCTGGAATGGGTGCACAGGCTCTGTGCTAGGATTCAACATAGCCATCCTCCCCCTCCACAGTGACAAAACCCTGGAAAAGTGGGAAGATGAAACTAGACATCACAATCCTTGTGAGGCCAACTTGGGGAGTGTTCCATAATACAGTGCTACAGGTCCAAAGGTCACTGGCCTAATCCCTGACTACCACAGACCCCAATTCAGCACCAGCAGTTTGGCAAAGATGCTTGGTATCCTGGTGGAGGAAGTGCAGCTCTCCTCAAAATTGCAAGTGTATCTCCTATGGAATGTACAGTTTGAGAACCTCTGCAATAAAGGATGATTTTTTTTTTAATAAATGGGAAGAGGTGATCGAGCTAGAATTACAGAGGAGGTGAGTGGATGGCATTTTGGCCCCTGCATGTGTCTGATTTAGTAAGCTGCTGTCAACAGACTTTGTTATACATCTACTTTTTGTAATTTCATTTAATCTTATCCAAGGTTTCCAATTGGGATGGCATAGAGAGCCAAATCAAACCATTATCTGCCTTAATACAGGGTTTCCTGACTTTTTTGAGCTGGCGGGAATGTTTGAACTTTTGAGAATGGGTCACAATACTCTCAAAAGTTGGCAGATGTGAGTAAATTACCCATTTAGACAAAAGACAAAATAGTAATGTTATTTTCTGACACTCTTCTCCTAGGATATTTCTGCTATTCTCCTCCTAAGATACTTTCAACCCCATTGTCAACTAAAACTTTTTTTTATAGTTTCATAGCATTTCCCTTCCCACCTCCCAAAAAAACTATCATTTGGATATATATGGGGCTCAGAATTGACATGCATTTTGTACTATTTAATTTAATTTAATTAAAATTAAATTAAATTAAATTTAAATTTAAATAATTGGAGATAAGGCAGATGTCATCAAGCACATCAGTATTCAGAGCAATCACATTGCAGATTCTCTGTGTAAACTGATGATATTTTTCAAGTCCAAAGTACTTTACCACTTGATGGCAAACTGGGCTGTTTTGGTGCCAGCTATTGTAATTGCAAATATGCTACTACGCTATGTCAATAATCCTGCTTGGTTCTCAGTTACAATGTCTAAAGTTCTACCACCTTTTGGGTACAAGCCGCCATTTCTCTTAAAGAGAGAAATAGATGGATTTTCAAAATATTAACTCTGAATGCAACTGTGAGACTGTAAATCTAATTTCAAATGAGACTTCCACATAAGGCCAACCATAGCTAGTGGTTTGTTCTTGCTTGACATAAATTCATTGAAATGCAGTACTGTAGCATCTTATTCATGAGTAATTGAAGTTGCACTGATTAAGCATGATCCAATCCACTGAATCAGAACATATTTTGAAAGTTATTTCACAAGTGCATAACTCTTGAGACTGCATTTATACTTTGACCTTGCCATTTTTTTAAAAAAAGCCATTTAAATAAATCACTATTGTTGGATTTATACACATGGTTAAGCCAAAATTAGATTATGGGTTGATATGTGATCTCTTCCCACTCCCCTGCTCCACTGGTCATTCATGAAGGGAATATTTTTTGTTTTTCAATTCCTCCAGTTTGTGAACCTGTGGGTGAGAGAATCTGGAAATCGATTCTACATCTGACAGATACTCCAGTTGAGAAAAGTATCATTATCTCAGTAATTGGATTAGCAGAAGCTTAATTTGGTGAGTAATTTAATTCATTTTCTTGGTCTGCGCAAAGCTGAGAGTCATAAACTAACCTATTGACTCTGTCTGCTAGATCAGGTCTGCATTAGAAAGCCCATTCCGTTCAAACTTATCATATAGGTCAGTGATGGCTAACCTTTTTGCCATCGCGTGCCAGGAGAGGGGTGGGTGGGGGAGGGACGTGCACGCACGTGCCCACGTGCATGCGTGCGCAACCCCCCCCCCGCTCCTGGCACATGATGGCCTGGTAGGCCTGTTTTTCTTTCTTACCTGGTTCCAGATCCTCTCTATTTATCTGAGGGTGTCCTGCCGGCCGCCTTGAAAGAGGCAGTGGTGAGGCCTCTCCTCAAGAAGCCATCCCTGGATCCAGCTGTTTTGGCTAACTATTGTCCAGTCTCCAACCTTCGCTTTATTGCGAAGGTTGTTGAGAGTGTGGTGGCGTGACAGCTTCCCCAGTACCTTGATGAAGCTGTCTATCTGGATCCGCTCCAGTCCGGCTTCAGACCTGGGTACAGCACGGAAACAGCATTGGTCGCGTTGGTGAATGATCTCTGGAGGGCCCGGGATAGGGGTTATTCCTCTATCCTGGTCCTATTAGACCTCTCAGCGGCTTTTGATACCATCGACCATGTTATCATGTTGCGCCGGCTGGAGGGACTGGGAGTGGGGGGCACCGTTTTGCGGTGGTTCTCCTATCTCTCCGACCGGTCGCAATCCGTGTTGACAGGGGGGCAGCGGTCGACCCCAAGGCGCCTTGTTTGTGGGGTGCCTCAAGGGTCGGTCCTCTCGCCCCTCCTGTTCAACATTTATGTGAAGCCGCTGGGTGAGATCATCCGTGGTTTTGGGGTGGAGTTCCATCAGTACGCTGATGATACTCAGCTATACATTTCCACCCCAGACCATCCCAATGATGCCTTGGAAGTGATGTCCCAGTGCCTGGAGGCCGTGCGGGTCTGGATGGGGAGAAACAGGCTTCGACTCAACCCTTCCAAGACCGAGTGGCTGTGGCTGCCGGCGTCCCGGTATAGCCAGCTGACGCCATCGCTGGTTATTGGGTGCGAATCATTGGCCCCCACGGAGAGGGCCCGCAACTTGGGTGTCCTCCTGGATGCACGGCTGTCTTTAGAAGGGCATATGACGGCCGTGGCCAGGGGGGCTTTTTGTCAGGTTCGCCTGATACGCCAGTTGCGCCCCTTTCTGGACCGGGACTCCCTACGCACGGTCACTCAAGCACTCATCACCTCTCGTCTGGACTATTGTAACACTCTCTACATGGGGCTCCCCTTGGGGTACACCCGGAGGCTCCAACTGGTGCAGAATGCGGCCGCGCGGGGGATTATGGGAGCAACGGGGCGCTCCCATGTGACTCCTCTCCTGCGCGAGCTGCATTGGCTTCCGGTGGACTTCCGGGTGCGCTTCAAGGTGTTGGTGATCACCTTTAAAACGCTCCATGGCTTAGGGCCAGGGTACTTACGGGACCGCCTTCTGCCACCAATAGCCTCCCACCGGCCGGTTCACTCCCACAGAGAGGGCCTCCTCAGGGTGCCATCGGCCAGACAATGCCGGCTGGCGACCCACAGGAGGAGAGCCTTCTCTGTGGTGGCACCTACCCTATGGAACAATCTACCCCCAGAGATACGAGTGATCTCCGACCTCCAGACTTTTCGTCGGGCCCTAAAAACTTATTTTTTTCAGTTAGCCGGTCTGTCTTGATTTTAGGGTTAGTTTTAAAATTTTAATATTGATTTTAAATTGACAAGTTTTAAATTACGGGCCAAATTTATAAATTATTTTAACTCTATTTTTAACTGTAATGTTATGTATAGATGTTTTTATTTTGGCTGTTCACCGCCCTGAGTCCGAAAGGAGAAGGGCGGTATAGAAATTTGAATAATAAATAAATAAATAAATAAATAAATAAATAAATAAATAATAAATACTGGGAAGGGCGAAAACAGCCTTTCCCACTCCCTTGGAAGCCCTATGGAGGCTGAAAGGGCCCATTTCCCAACTCCCGGTGGGAGAGGAAGTGACATTTTTTGCTGTCCCCAGCCTCCAGAACCTCTCTAGGAGTCTCTAGGAGCCTCTCTAGGAGCCTGTCTAGGAGTCTCTGGAGGCTGGGGCAGCAAAAAACATCACTTCCTGTCCCACCGGGAGTCAGGAAATGGGCCCTTTCAGCCTCCATAGGGCCTCCAAGGGACTGGGAAAGGCTGTTTTCACTCTTCCCAGATAAGTAGAGAGGATCTGGAACCAGGTAAGAAAGAAAAATGGGCCTTCCCCACCCCCTTCAGGCCCTCCAGAGACAGGAAACAGCCTGTTTCCCTACTTCTGGTGGGCCCAGAATGCCCGAAAATCAGCTGGCCGGTGTACGCATGTGCCCCAGAGCTGAGCTGGCGTGCCCACTAATATGGCTCCGCGTGCCACCTGTGGCACGCATGCCATAGGTTCGCCATCACGGATATAGGTAGTTCTTAATTACCATTCAGCAAGCATCTGAAGTTACAGCAGTATTAAATAAATAGCACATGCCCCGTGGCTGAAATTATGGCCCTTGCAACACCTCCACAGTCAGGTGATCAAAATTTGGCACTTTGAATCCCACCACACTTATGACTTCAGGGGCACTTCAACTCACCCCTGCCATTTACCTCCCCCTGATCTCTGTTCTATTGGCTCCTATGTACAGTGGTATTCCTTGGCAACAGGGGCAGTGCTGCAGAGGTCTGAGGATCATGGCAGCTGACTGAGACTGCTAAAATACCCTAGCCTCTATTTTAACACTAGTACTACCACTGATGCCAACTGATATCAATATGCAAGGTGTCCATAAGGACAGAGATGGGAAATATAGACAGGTGTGGGGAGTTCAGAAGGAGGCAGTCCCTTACCTTGGTGAGGCTCAGGGCTAGGAGTGACTATCCGTGAATGGTTTGGTTCAGGTTGGATCCTTGCCTAATGGCCAGTGGGTTTTGATTAACAAAGGCAATTGATTTCTGTCACTAAGTGATATGGTTATGTAATGTCACACTTTACAACTGCATTGTTTAGCAATGAAAATTGTGGTCCTAATTACTGTTGCTTATCAAGGACTATCTGTATTATAGCAAATGCTGCTCTAAAGCATTTCAGTGAACCAGTTAAGCACGTGTACGAATCCAGAAAGTAAGTGGCTATTTGCAGGCTATGTTTTCATCTAACATTAGCAATAAGTGAATTTATCTGCCTTTGGTTTCATAAGATTCCTTTTGTTTTGCAGTTACTTTTATAATTTCAGATATCTCAAGTTGACACACCACACTAAGCCATGTTTATGTTTATTTTGGGTGTAGTGCTGTCTGTAAATCAGGCCACAGTTTAGTAACCAAGGTTTGTGTATTAACAGTATATAGGCCACTTTCGGTCTGTGCAGTAAATTATGGTTAAAAGTAGGGGTATGCAAAACTTTTCAAGTCTTAATGATTCTGATTGGAAATGACCTCTTTCACTTGTAATATGAGCTAGTTTTATCACTCTGGAAATATTTCAGCATCTCTGAAATTATCAACTCAGCTGCTTCCTACTCAGAAAAAGGATGTTTTGAAATCAAATTTGAAATGTTTGTAACTCTCTAGTTAAAATGTTTGGTGTAATCCCTGATCATTGTCTTGTTGTAACAGATGCCAGGAGAAAATGTGAGTTACAAACCTTCCTTGTCAGAAAGATGTTATCAAGAGAAGAACCTGAGCAGATGGTGGCCGAGGGACCTCCTCTGAAACTGGAGCACGACAGAGTGGGAGCTGGCAATTTCACACTGTTACTTCCTGCCAAACCGAGCCCCATCTCCTCAAGCGAGGGCCAGCAACCATACAAGTGCATGGAGTGTGGGAAGGGCTTTAGCCAGAGTTCATACTTGATGCGCCACCTAGAGACACACTCAGGAGAGAAATCTTACTAGTGTACAGCCTGCCCCAAGGCCTTCACACAGTTGTCAAACCTGCAGCAGCACCAGTGAAAGCATACAGTGGAGTGATCCTTTACCTGTGATTTATGCGGCAAATGCTTTTCCTGGAATTCCAATTTGGCTCAGCACCAGTGCTTCCATATGGGCCAAAAGCTTTATGCTTGCACATAGTGCAGCAAATGTTTTTGTGAGAGAGCTCAGCTTCTGGAGTACCATGCACCCATACATGTGAAAGGCCCTATGCTTGCTCCCAGTGTTGGAAACACTTCAGCCGCAGCTCTCACCTGTTATATCACCAGCGCCTCCACAATGATCAGAAGCCTTGTATTTGCATCTCTGTAACAGCGCTCAGCTCCTGGAGCATTAGCGCCCCCATACGGGAGAGCAGCCCTATGTCTGTCCACAGTGTCAGAAATGCTTCAGAAACACCTACCACCAGTGCCTCCACGCTGCCATTATGGAAAGATAGGAGGAGGATTGAAAGGCTCTTCTTTCCACTTGCCCCACTCTACTCCCTGCAAGTAGCCTTTACTAACTAGTGGAACAGCCTGGTCAAATAGGGGGAGGTGCTTTACAAGCGTTTCTCTTTTATTCCTTAATCACTGGAACTGTGGGATTTCTAGTTAACCGTAAGCTTTACAAGCTTTACCTTGCAGTAAATATTTACCTTGCGGGCGGCTTTCTACTTGTGTTTTCAAAATATAGCGGAAGACAAAGAGGAAGATCTGGGGCAAGTGATGGCAAAGATGATTGCGGAAGCCCTGCAACAAGATAAGCAGCAAATAATAAGGGAGCTGGATGAAGTTTACCGAGTGCAGACCAGTTACGCTTAAGAAGGAACAAGCTGCCAAGAGAGGTCCACATCAGGTTTGCTAGGAAGAAAGTCAGAGACATACTGTATAATGTTATGAGGGAGGAACAGATGATATATAAGGGCAAGGAAGTAACAACATTGAAACAAGTTCCCAGAAGGGTTAGGGAACTAAGAAGGGACTATCGATTTCTAGCCATGCAATTAACCAAGAGAAATATTTTATTTAGATGGATTCCTGCAGGAAGGCATGATAATTACATGGCTAGGGAAGAAAATCAAGATTGACAGCTTAGTAATCGCACAAGATTTTCTTGATCAGCTAGTGGGGATGGAGGAAGAGTAGAGCAGTAAAGAAGACACCGAAGCAGCAGCTCAAGAAGAGGAAATACATTCTCAACAGGAACCCAAGGAAGAATCTCTGGAAAAGAAAGAATTAGAAGAAAAAGAAAGCAAAGACACAAAAGAAAAGAAACCCAAGAACCCAAAGAGTTACACGAGCAAATAAAATCTAAAGTCGCCCAGGAGAATTGTATATGGAAGATTGGAAATTAATATCAATTAATGTTAACGGATTAAATGAGAGTAGAAAAAGAAAACAAATATTTACAAAACTAGTTAAACAAAATGCCGATATTATATGCCTTCAAGAAGTCCACATACGTAAACAGGATGAAAGATATTTAGAATATAATAAATTAGGGAAGGCCTTCACTTCACTAGCGGAAAAAAAAAGAGGGGGGTAGTAATATACGTTAAGGTAATTGCGGGAAAAAATATGCCGACTCAAAAGGGAGGACGTTAATGATTGAGATAAAAAGAGATAACTTATTAATATTATTGATAGCTATATATGCTCCAAACAAAAACCAGGGAAATTATTATAAAAAACTTGATGAACAAATAAGTAAAATGGAACATAGCAAAATTTGTATTGTGGGTGATTTTAATGGGATTGTTGACCATGACAAAGACTATAGGAGCGGCAAAGTGGAAAAAAGGGAAGCCCTACCTAAATCGTTTTTTGACTTAGTGGAGGAAATGAACTTAATAGATATTTGGCAGACCCTGCACCCAAATGAGAGACAATTTATCTTTTACTCGAACCCGCAAATATCCTGGTCTAGAATAGACATGTGGATCACCAAACAATTGGGATTAGAAATAGATACGGCGGAAATTACACCTAATATATAGGCAGATCACAACCCCCTAGAAATTAGGTGGAGGGCCTTACAGAGGAAAAAAAGGAGGAGATGGAGATTAAATACACAACTTCTGAGAGATAAAGATTTCATAGATAAAATTAGGGGAGAACTAAAACTATTCTTCAAAGAAAATGATAATCAAGAAACATCCCGAGTTAATGTATGGGACACAATGAAGGCATATTTAAGAGGGATAATGATATATAACACATATAAGAACAACAACAACAACAACAAAAAACCGGAAGGCACAAGATGCCTTCCAGGAAGAATTGGGGAAAGTGGAAAAGAAGATGCAGCAAAACCCGGGAGACAAAGTGACGAAAGAGAATTGGATAATGTTAAGACATAAATGGAACATATTAGAGCAGGAGGAATTGGCTTACAAAATTAAACAATCAAAGCAATACTACTTTGAAAACGCCAACAAGCCGGGCAGATGGTTGTTGTATAAATTAAAGAAAGAAAACGAGAAACGGAGTATCCACCAATTGGAAGATAAGGGAAAGCTGCAAAATAAAGAAGAAGCTAAGCTTGAAATTGCTTGTGAATACTACATGGAACTCTATAAAGAAGAAGAAGTTTCTAGAGAAAGTATTGCCCAGTACCTCTCAGAAGATGAACTTGTACTGATAAGAGAAGAGGAAAGGGAAGTGTTAAATAGAGAGGTTACAATGGAAGAATTAAAGAGGGCAACTTCCAGACTAAAAAATAATAAATCACCAGGTTCAGATGGTCTCCCAGGAGAATTATATAAAAAATTGGAGGATATACTACTACCAAAATTATTGGAGATTTATAATGAAGCCCTACTGGATGCCAAAATACCTGATTCGTGGAGAGAAGCATACATCACATTGCTACCAAAAGAAGGTATCGACCCAAAACAAATAAAAAATTATAGGCCAATTTCACTTTTAAATTTGGATTATAAAATTTTCATGAGCATGGTGGCGGAAAGATTGAAAACTATTAAATGTCCTAATACACACAGAACGGTTTCCTCCCTGGCAGACAAATAAGAAACAATTTAAGAATAGTGATTGACACTCTAGAATACTACAAGGCCCATCCCAAAAAGCAAATGGCCCTAGTCTTTTTAGATGCCCAAAAAGCGTTCGATAATTTAAATTGGGATTTTATGATTAAACAAATTAAAATAATGAAATTGGGAATGAATTTTGAGAAAATGATAAAAACAATTTATAATAAACAAAGGGCAAATATAATATTAAATGGAGATATGACTAAACCATTCCAGATTAAGAAGGGGGTAAGACAAGGATGCCCCCTATCACCATTATTATTTATTATGGCCTTAGAAGTATTGTTAAGTAGGATTAGAAAAAACAATGAAATAAAAGGGCTGAAGATTAGGAATGAGGAATATAAAATGCAGGCATTCGCCGATGACGTAGTGTAGATTGTGTAAGAGCCATTGGAATCTGGCAAAAAAATCTTGCATGAATTAGGCATGTATGGGGAGATGTCTGGATTTAAGTTGAACAAAGAAAAAGCAAAGATGTTGGTAAAGCATTTGTGGGAATCAGGTGGCCATAGTATATGTGTAGATCGGCCTAGCTGGTTGGACACATGTACGGAGCTTGGCACCGAAATAATCTGAATAGGAAAAGCGGGTCCAGCTGGATGACTATTAGAGAGGCCCTATTTAGAATGGAGGCTGTGTTTGCTGCAAGGCATAGACATCTCCTTGTAGAACATTCCTGAGGACTGAGGTAACCTCTGATAACAGGGAGATGGGCCTCTCGGCTGGCAGAAGAATATGCTGGGAACGAAGCCAAATATGATAACGTAGCAGAGTTAAATTTTGTTTTTACCTTAGGTATCGCTTTCCTAGAATTCACGTGATTTACTGTAATATTGTAGAATGTGAAACCTATATGGAGAATATATGGATGCTTTCCTTTTTCATGTGTGTAATATGAGATGTGTAGCCATAATAACGCCTTTTGATGACGCTGTACTTTGATTACTAATAAAAGAGATTGCGGGGCTTTGTGCTTTGTTCTCTCATCCCGAGAAACATTTGTGCCTGTGTTTTCTCTAATCTGGACTACTCATGAGGAGCCCACCAGGATGATCGCAACATATGGTGACCCCGACGTGATTCACGGATCGAGCACGTCTCTTGGCACCCTCATACTCATTCAGCTGGAAGCCTCTGCAAACCAGGGCCGGGGTCGTCTGCGGACGAAGCACCCTCCCATAAATAGTGAGTATGGGGGCAGAATACTCTAAGCCTCAGGTCGCGCACCTCCACAAACTTAGGGAATTGGCCAAGTCCTCAATCATTGTTTAAAAAGATAACGGAAAAGTCCTGCCCGTGATATCAAGAAAAGGAATGTGATTTACCTTCTAAAATACATTTGGCAACATTATCCGGCTTATCCGGAAAAGGGCTCTTTAAAAGTGAAAACGTGGAGACAGATGGGAACCTGCTTCCACAAACCTCCCGGAGCCCTGGAAAAATTCTTGCACTCTGGAGATTAGTTATAGAGTGTTTAATGATGCATGAGAAAGTTTTCAGGACACTGATAAGTTTCCCGACAAGCCATCCACCTGATTATAAAGTTAAAATTGTTACCTCAAAACCATCTTTAATTGAACTATCAGTTCCTTCTGAAGGAGCTGGTTACACCCCCATTAAAGAAACAGTTAGAAAAAAAGGAGGGGGTGGAATATAGAAGAAATTCCTGAAATGCTTTCTGTCTGTCTACCGGCTGCAACTTTGCAAGTTTCTTCTGAATGTGCTTATCAAGCCTTCAGAAAAGTGCCTGTTTCTGGAAGCGTCAACAAGCCTTCTCTAACATAAGGAAAAAAGCTAAAGAGAAGGCCACTTAAAAGCAATTGTTGGGCTGGGAAAAGATCTTGATTTGGCAGATATGATTAAAGTGTCAGGATATAGGAACATCGTATAAAACCAATTTGTTAGCACTGCTTTATCACCAGGCAGCAAACCTCAAGAAAAGTGTTAAAAATCCGGGGGGGGGGCATGTCTGTAACATCTCGCCCTCTCTTTCATCAGGGATAAAAAACCCTGGTTATCATCATATAGATGACATTTAATTGGAGCACAAAAAAAATACAACCTAATTGGCTTTTTGAAATACAAAATGATTTATGTGTAAATGAATTGCACATTGCCCCAGAAAAAATACAGCTGTACGCTTCTTATCTGTATTTAGGGCATAAACTATTGCAACCTTTTTCTACTCCGGCTTTTCCTTGTTTAAAGTTACCCAAAGTTATTTCCTTAGTAAATTTGCAACAATTACTGGGTACTATTAATTGGGTCCGCTCATATTTTTCTTTACCTACGCATTTACTTAGTCCATTATTTGAGTTATTGACTAAAAGTAAAAAGCCAGGAGATTTAATTATAGTTCCATCTGTAGTGTTTGCTACAGTTGAGAAAATTAATAATCTTGAGTATTCAGTTTGTGGATTGGATCCCTCATAGAAATTGTCAGTTAATATTTCCTGCTAGTAAGCTACCCACAGGAGTATTGGCTGCTTTAGAACAGTAAAAAGTATATTGTATTGAATGGCTTTATTTGTCTCATTACCATCTAAAAATGTTTTACCCTTTATTCAAGCCATTGCTGAATTTATAACCTTGAGGCGTACTCCAGCCTGTCGAAGAAATGGAACTGATTTAATAAATATTGTTCTTTCTATCTCAAAATCTGACTTTCACTTTTATCTTCAGAATAATTCATCTCTTCAGTGTGCTCTAACTGACTATGTAGGCTGTATTTCATATCATTTGCCTAAAGATCCTAGGTTTGCTTGCTTAATGACTTCCTCCAGAGGAGCCATTGCTTACAAGGATACTCATGACGACATCTGGAAAGAATCTTACACTAATTGTCTGCGGCTATCTTAGCTTTCCACACTTTTTCTCAACAACCTTTTAATCTGATCTCTGACTCTCAGTATGTTTGTCAGACTGAAAGAAGAAATTGTTTATTGTCTTCCCACCTGGGGTTAGCAGGTAATATAAAGCCTGTCTAAATGGGAAGGCTCAGATGATTTGATCTGATCAACTTGAAGTGATTTCTGTTAAAAATATTTTGTTGATGTGCATCTATAATGATAGTGTGTAGAACTGAATGGGGTTGAATTAATTATGATATTTTTGGCTGGCCAGCAAAAATGGATGAGCTTCGGCTTGAAGCTGTGGAAAGGTGGGCAATGGTTCGGGCCCAAAAATCACCATTGTGATTAAAACTGCTGCCTGTGTTTTCCACTGTTTTGGGAATAAGCTAGTTCATTGGAATAATTTTAATGACTGATTTGCATGGAGGACGCATTATACAAAAGGTCTGATTGCAGTACAGATGTGAATGGATGTGTATGTAGTCATTTATTGGATTGCATGAAATGTAATTTTGTGTATAAGCATTTTTTTCCCCTTTCTCTTCCTGTCTTCCCAAGAAAAGGGAGGCTTGTCCGTTTTAAAAAAAAAAATTTCCTTTCTCTCACCCCCCCTTTTTTTCCCTGGGAGGTGAGAGGCACGAAGAGGGGGGCTATGGTTTTTGTTCCCTTCACCATTTTTTTTTCTCTCTGCTGAACCAGCCTGAGAAAGGCGGGGTAAAGGGTGATATCTGATACCTGCCTTTGCAGTTTCAGAGTATTGACTCAAAATACCTCATTTAGACTGTTTGTTTTATTTTTGAAGCTGTTTTTCTTACTCCTTAATGTTTTTATGTCTGCGTGCATTTTGCATATTTAACAGATGGCACGTTTGTTTGTTTGTTTGTTTGTTTGTTTGTTTGTCCGCAGCATAAGTTGCTGCCATTTTAGGAATTGTCACAGAGATGAGTTAGAAATTACAATATGTAGAAAGAGAGATAAAATACATAGGACATTTAATTAATGAAAGAAGTAACACCTGAAGGAGTTGAGGAAATTTCTAGGGTTACTGGATATTGTAGGCTGTGAATAGATAATTGTGCTATTTTGAATAAAGACTGGTATGCAAAGAACCCAGTGTTACAGGGAATGTAAGGGAATGGCTTTCAGGGTTTTAACCCAGAAGTGGGGAGGGAAGAGAGAGTCAGTAAGGAAAGCAGAAAGTTGACTTTTGGAAGTACAAGGAGATTTAGAAGGACGATCAGATATTGGTGCTGAGAAGGGGTTGAATTGTTTATAGACATTTAGGTAAGTTGATTTGCACAGACTTGGGCTGGCTTGGAAGTCAGAATGGCAATGGGAGAAGGACTTGAATCTTTAGTGTTATAAGGAGATTTGTTTATTGGAAGGTTATAGATGTTGTGGGTGGCGGAGACAGAGATTTCCATCAAAATAAAAAAGCATTAGCGAAGCAATTTGGTCTCACGGCAGCCGAAGCGACTGCCATCATACAACAATGTCCTACCTGTAGTCAACAAGCTCATTCTATCCCTATGGGTGTAAACCCTAGAGGACTCAAAGCTTGTGAAATTTGGCAAATGGATGTAACTCAGTATCTATCCTTTGCCCCATGGAAATATTTGCATGTTTCCTTGGATACTTATTCAGGATTTATTATGGCATCCCCACAAAGGGGAGAAGCAACCAAACATGTAATAAATCATTGTATTCGGACCTTTGCATCGATGGGACGCCCAATTGAACTCAAAACTGACAATGGACCTGCGTATACCAGTACTGCCTTTGCAGACTTTTGTAACAAGTGGTCCATCACACACAAATTTGGCTTATAAATTGAAAGAGGAAAAATGCCTCGGCCTCCCAGCCATGCAAAACAAACTCAATCTTTGCTTATATACTTTGAACTTTCTTAACCTGACTGGACAGCCTCCCACATCGGCTGCGACCCGTCATTTTTCTGCTTCTCCATCAGCTACCCCAAACCATAGGTCTATTTCTGCCAACCACCCGATCTTGAATGGAGAGGGCCCGCTGACCTTATTACCTGGGGCCGTGGATACGCTGCTGTCCAATACAACGATCGCATCATTTGGATCCCCAGAAGACACGTAAGACCATTTCATTTACAACAAAAAGAAGGAGAAACCCCTTGTGCTGAGATTTAAGAAGAAAACACCCTGCTGAGTCCTATCGGCAACGAACTCTCTACGCACGGTGGTGATCATCAGCTTTGTAGGACCACACCGGAAGCTGGTCCCCTGTGCACAGCAGAAGATTCATCAGGAGGAAACTACCTTCACATTGTACATATACATTATATTAGCTTTAATATAACACTTTCTTACACATACTAATGTTAGTAGAAGTTTGGGAGTGGGTTTTGTGGGTAATTGTTTTTCTAATTTTGCTAGTAATTTTGTTTCACACGTATAAGTGACTATGATTTGTTTATGGCCTTGGACTTTGTTAGCTTTGGGACTCTCAAGTGACCATGTAAGGAACATCAAATCCCCACATACATACACTTCAAGTCAAGTACGCTCCCGCCACAAACGCATTGTCTATGCACGAGGTCCTTACTTTCTACCTAAGCCTACTCCACCACCTAAGGTTCCCATATTGACGTTTCCAGTTGAGGGGGGAATGAATAAGGACAATGGGCCTCTGCAACAATTGCATAGAGGAGACTATATATCACAGATTCTGGAATTAAGTTACGATCTTGCATCTATTCCCCTACATCTCATGATCCTTCATGTCAGCAGCCTCTACATTCAATCATGATGGGACAGTAATAAAAGACATTCAAATAGCTGCTAATTGGACAAACTCCACTACTCCTATTTCCCAAACCGCACCCACCACTGACACTGGGTGGCTCATTAAAAACTCAGATATCCAGAGGCATCTTGCCCAATCTCGGGTAGCAATGAACTATCGGGATCTTCATTTATTAAATAACTGGACAGTACATATGTTCAACGAGACTATCAAGGTGCTGAAGCTGATGAACAAAGAACTGGCTGAAATCAGGGAGGTTTCCCTGATAAACCAATATGCCTTAGATATTATGCTAGTAGCTAAAGGAAGCGTTTGTGCCCTCATACACTCACATTGTTGTACCTATGTATCTGATTATCAGTATAACAACACTCACACCATAGAACATATGGAAAACTTGATCAAAAACAATCCCTTATCATCCGATGGATCTGGTGCCATTGACATCTGGGCTGCCCTTTGGTCATGGCTCCCGGATGGTTCTTGGTTGAAATCAATTATGCCAACTATTGTATCTATAATCGTACTGCTTGTTTTGCTTTGTTGCTGTATCCAATGTCTCCCCTCCCTTCTGCAAATGTGCAAAGGTTTTATTCCCTCCAATAGGAAGGACGTCCTGAAAAGTGAAACCAAAGCCCTTCTGGAACTGGAGGAACAAATCAGGTGTTGTCAGAGAAGGTGCTCGGGACTTGCAAGATAGGGCTTCCAGAATAACTCAGAGGTTACAAACTCCTGACATGTGGTTTTCTTGGGTGCCTGGATCCGGATGGATTTACAATTTGTGCGAGCGATTTGTGGAAATGTATAACTGGAATACAACTCAGAAACTTGATGGCCTACCTCGCTTGACATCTCCTGGCCACTTTTCCACTAACTTTGTTCACCGTAATAAAAGGATGGGTGAGCTACAAACATTTGCAGAAACCGGATGGCTGAAGAACATATTGTCTACTGTACTCATGATCATTGCTTTGCTTATTTCTGTATGTTGTAGTATTGAATGTATTCCTGCTTTGTTTGCTATGATGACAAACATGTTTCCCAGGCATAAAGAGAACATCACAATAACAACACAGCTGAACCCTGTTGCAAAAAAACCCTCAAAAACAGAGGAGATGTGGGAATCAGGTGGCCATAGTATATGTGTAGATCGGCCTAGCTGGTTGGACACATGTACGGAGCTTGGCACCGAAATAATCTGAATAGGAAAAGCGGGTCCAGCTGGATGACCATTAGAGAGGCCCTATTTAGAATGGAGGCTGTGTTTGCTGCAAGGCATAGACATCTCCTTGTAGAACATTCCTGAGGACTGAGGTAACCTCTGATAACGGGGAGATGGGCCTCTCGGCTGGCAGAAGAATATGCTGGGAACGAAGCCAAATATGATAACATAGCAGAGTTAAGTTTTGTTTTTACCTTAGGTATCGCTTTCCTAGAATTCACGTGATTTACTGTAATATTGTAGAATGTGAAACCTATATGGAGAATATATGGATGCTTTCCTTTTTCATGTGTGTAATATGAGATGTGTAGCCATAATAACTCCTTTTGATGACGCTGTACTTTGATTACTAATAAAAGAGATTGCGGGGCTTTGTGCTTTGCTCTCTCATCCCGAGAAACATTTGTGCCTGTGTTTTCTCTAATCTGGACTACTCACGAGGAGCCCAGCAGGATGATCGCAACAGAATTTGACAGACAAAAGGAAGAAGTGGAGAAGATAATAGATTTACAAATTGTTAAAAAAATCAAATACTTAGGAATGTGGATAATGTCAAGATGTTCAGCCCTGAAAGAGGATAATCATATACCTCTGATTAGGAAAATCAAACAAGATTTAGAAAGATGGGGGAACCTATAATTATCACTCCTAGGCCAGATAGCCTCAATAAAGATGAACATTCTGCCTAAATTATTATACCTATTTCAAATTATGCCGGTAACTTTAGATAAAAAATTCTTTGCAGAATTGAACAAAATTACCAGGAAATTTGTTTGGGGAGGGAAAAAACCCAGAATTTCACTAAAATCGTTACAGGACAATAGAAGCAGGGGAGGCTTTGGACTCCCAGCATGGGAAATTTACCATAAAGCGGCCAATTTAGTTTGGATAAAGAAATGGATCACTCTAGAAAACAAAAGAATTTTGACTCTAGAAGGGCACGATCTACAGAGAGGTTTTTACGCGCATTTATGGGACAAGGAAAAGAGGAGAAAATCATATTTCCACAGACACAGGCTACTGGATACGCAATTACAAACATGGAAGGAAATTGGGCAAAAACAACACATGAAGATTCCAAACTGGCTTTCAGAATGTAAGCCATGATATATCCCAATGCCCTAGCAATAGATAAAATGTACAGGTACAAGGATATTTTAGATAGTTGCGGAAATCTCAAAACTAATGAATCACTCAAAGAACAGGGCATCTATATTGACTGGTGGCCATATCTACAGATCAAATCTAGGTATCAAAAAGATAAGGAGGAATTTGGTACAGAGATGGGATCAAACAGATTTGACAAATTATTGATGGGCACAGAAAATAAAATACTATCCAAATTATACAATTACTTATTAGAATATGACAGAGCTGAGGAGGTGGTAAAGGAACAAATGATTGTATGGGCAAAAAACATAGGGCATAATATAAATTTGGCTGATTGGGAAATAATTTGGAATAGGAACTATAAATTGACAAAGAGCGGTAACATTTAAAGAAAATCAGTATAAAATGCTGTACAGATGGCACTTAGCCTCCTCAAGATTAGCCAAAATTTATCCAAATCTGAGACCAAATTGTTGGAAATGCGACCACCAGCAAGGGTACCTTCTTTCATATGTGGTGGACATGCCCCGAAGCGATCAAATATTGGAAAAAGATTCGAATTTGGATCCAGGAAGTAATCGAAGAAAATATAGATTTGGCACCTGAAACCTTTCTCCTGGGAGTTCTAAAGAGGACATATGAGAAGAGAAAGAGATACTTAATTATACACATTATCATGGCACCCAGAATAATATATGCACAATATTGGAAAGAAAAAGGAATACCATCAGAAGAACATTTAATTCGGAAAATTTTAGAATGTGCTGAGATGTGTAAATTAACATATGAGATTGATGAGAAAGAGGAATCGGAATATTATACGGTGTGGGAACTATGGTACAAATGGAAGACAGAATAAAGAAAGGAAAAGGAATAATTTAGATACCTAAATAAGGGAGTAAAATAGGAGATATAATAAGTTAAGAATGTATTCAATCTGTATTTATATTAACACTGTCTAACCGATAGTTCATGTATTGTATTATTATGCAACTTAATAAAAATTAAAAAAAAAAAGACACGCCTTAGTTTTTGGGGAAGACAATAAGAAAAAAGCTGATTGGCAGGTGGATCAGCCTCCTGGAATACCCCCAATCAGCTGTTCCCAGAGGTGAATTTTAGCAACAGGTTCTTTGGTTGTGAGCTCTGTGCCTTGCTTTTTTTTCTGCCTCTGAAACTTCTGAAACTCCATTTCAGAAAAAACTTTTTTTCCTGCCGTTGAAAGCCTCCAAAACAGAGCTTTTAAAAAAAAAGCCTCTGAAGCTCTGTTTGGGGGCTTTTTTTCTGAAGCTTCGTTTCTGATGCTTTTTTCAGCCTCTGAAACCTCCGTTTGAGAAGCTGGGCGGGGCTACATTTGGGGTATAAGACGCACCCAGATTTTTACCCTCTTATAGAGGGTGAAGTAGGTCTTCTCTATAAGGCTGATATTTCCTGTTGACAAGGGACATGACTTGAGAGATTTTGAACGCTAGCCATAACACTGTTTTAAACAGTAAGTGAAGGGTATTTAAGATGAAAACAACATGCCATCCTCCTTGACTTTTGATCAAATGTTCTGCATACTGATGTGGAGGGAGAGAACCCAAAACAAAGCAACCGAAAAAGACTAGATTAATTATGTACCACCAAGTGATTATTAATTCCTAGCAAACAGATAAATAAGATTTTCTCCATTTATCTGTCCCTGATTTGTTCTTTCAGGTATCCTAATGGGATATTCATTACCACTGTAACTCAGTCCATCTACCTGGCTGCTGGTCATCTTCTTTCCTTCCACTTTTCCAACAGCAGAGCCTTTTCTGTTGAGATATGAGCTGAGTCTTCACATAATATGTTCGTAGTAGAATAATTTGAACCCTGGTCATTATATGCCTACAATACTCCCTACAATTCTCTACAATACTATTAAATATATTCATACCTGAAAAACACATTATGTGCAGCCTTAGGTTATGTATGGTGATTCTTTAAAAAAAGTTTTAAAAAACAGATCCAAGAAATGACATGAAGAGTTTTATTCTTTAATTAACAATAAAATCTTGCATTAATAATGCAGCTGCAATTATTTATTCATCTACATGGGCACATTTGGACACAAGTATATTCAAATTGCTGCAACAATTTATGCTCTTACATGGATTAATCATTTACTCCAAAGTATCTAATATCTCTATTTATGCCTTTCTGGTTCTTCCATTCAATGTCATTACTGCTTTTACAAAATCCTGATTTATCTAGAATCAGTAGCAATATTTTGTAGTGTTTTCAATACTTCTTACTGTAGTTCTTTTCCAAATAATAATTTAGTTAGTTGAATATCTTTCCAATTTTTACTATAAAATATTGTCATTCATCTACACAATAAAATATATTTGCACATTGGTCTTTTCTATCATCTGAGTGGGGTTCCATAAGTGTATCGGTTTTGTTTCTTATGATATTAGATTTTGTTTGTTCCATCTCAAATGTTCTGTCAAATTTATTTGGTCACTTTCAGTCAGTAAGAAAACTTTCATGTGTAGTATTGATGTTAAAAGTCTACCTGTTAAAAGTCAGGTTAGTGATTTAACCAAAATGTTCATCCCTGACATTTCAATTTCCACCTATTAGTTGCAATCTGGCTTGGCATTAACAACCAAGATCCAGTTGCTCTGTTTTCTTTGTGACAATTTTTCCAATAAGTAGGGATAGTTGATCTACAAAAGCCTGCAACTCCAGGACCACATACTGCCTACTTGTGTTTTGGCTAAAAACATTGGAGCTCCTCCAGAGTTGCTGTCAATCTGGTAGTTTTCAATTGAAGAGAAAAGCAAAATAATAGTAATACTCAGGAATTTTGTATGCCATACTTAATTGGATTGGTGGTGGAATGGTGGCAATGATCGTGGCTAGTGTGGGAATACCAAAAGAGTGAACTTTTAAGACATTTTTATCTCTTTTAATAATTACCATTACAAATCAGTGTCCCATATTTATGCCTTTTAATGTATTTATTCTAATATAAATTAGAACAAAATGTGCAGTTACTTTGGTAAGCAGAAGGAAAATGAGACTATAATGAATGCAGTGGTCCTCAAACTTTTTAAACCAGGGGCCAATTCATGGTCCCTCAGACTGTTGGGAGGCTGGACTGGGTGGGTGGTCATGTGACTGGGTGGGCATGGCTAGGAGGTCATGGCCAGTGGTGGGATTCAATTTTTTTAACAACAGGTTCTGTGGGTGTGGCTTAGTTGGGGGTGTGGCTTGGCGATCATGTGACTGGGTGGGCGTGGCTAGCTGGTCATGTGACTGGGTGGGTGTAGCTATGTGCATAGGGACTACTCAGAGGGCTGAAAAAAGTCATTTCTGACTGGTCCTCGGACTTTTGACCTGTCCTCACACTTATGACCATCCTCACATTTATGCCCATTGCACATTCTTAACAACCGTGTCAGTCATTTCACCACTATTTCTCTTCACCGCGGTGACAAGATAGGGCGCAAAACGTAAAATGTGAGGACAGTCGTAAGTTCAAGGACTGGTCAAAAGTGCGAGGACCGATCAAAAATAACTTTTTCAGCCCTCTGAGTAGTCCATTTACTACCGGTTCTGTGGGTAATGTGACTGGGTGGGCATGGCCAACTTTTTTTTTAAACTTTTACTTTTAAAAGCATTTTTTCTACAACCTTAAGAGGTTGCAGAAAACAATGCTTTTAGAAGCTTCTGACGATCACTCAAATCTGCTGGGATTGCTAAAAGCTTTTAAGGCGATTTTTTTCCTACAACCTCTTCAAAAAATCCCTTTAAAAACCTCTGACAATCTAAGCTGAGTTGCCTGATCCTCAGAAGCTTCTAAGAGCATTTTTTTCCTGCAACCTCTTTAAGCTTCTGCCTTTTCAAGGCAAAAAAGGGCGAGGGGTGGGGGGACACACACATGTGGCAGTGAAATATTCCACAGCTCAAACCTCCCCCCACCGGAAACCTGGGAAGGTTTCCCGTCTCTAAACAAATAACTCCTGAAAATTGAGGGGCAGGGGCAGAAAAGTCTCGCCCAGCGAGGAAACAGACTGGATTTCGGAGGAAACGCAGCTCGGTTTAAGGTTAAGGCAGGGCAGAGGGGTTGAGATGGCGATGGAGGGTGGGGGGGGGCAGCCTTTCCAACAAGCAAAGTCAATGCGGGGGGGGAGCCGGATTCACTTAAGCTAACAACCATGTGAATCACACCTCCCTGCCTACCCTAACACAACACACACATACATATCCAAGGGACCCTCTCCCCAGGCGAGAGAGATCCAACCCTGACAGAGCCAA